TCAAGAGATTAAAACTACCTCGACAATACCAACACACATGAATACGGCAGTTATGACGCTATTGCTAAAACCAAACAAAGACCCAATGCACCCGTCTAGTTACCGCCCTCTCTCATTAATAAACACAGATTTAAAAATCATTACCAAAGCATTAGCTACTAGAATAGAAACAGTTATCCCCATGTTAATTCACCATGACCAAACAGGCTTTATTAAACACAGGAATGCTTCAGATAATATGCGCAGATTATTTAACCTAATTAACCTTGCCCAACAACAACAAAAGCATACCAAAACTATAATTGTATCACTTGACGCCGAAAAAGCATTTGACAAAGTTAACTGGACATTTCTTTTTAACACTCTACACAGATTTGGTTTCGGAGAGTCATTCATCCACTGGATTAAAATATTATATACTTCACCTAGAGCCACAATAACAACAAATGGGATCACATCACAAAGCTTCACGCTTCACAGAGGAACCAGACAAGGATGCCCACTCTCTCCTTCTTTATTTGCTATATTTATAGAGCCACTTGCAGCAGCAATACGACAAAATGATAATATCAAAGGAATACAAAGCGTAAACACTCAACATAAGATCTGTCTTTATGCAGATGATTTATTGTTATGTTTACAAAACCCTTATAAGTCATTAAAAGAAACCTTTAAAATTATTAATACCTTCTCAAAATTTTCTGATTATACAATAAACTGGAATAAATCAACAATATTACCACTTTCTGAGGGTGCCTGGGATCCCACAACTCATGATTCATCTCTTCCACTCCACACTGGCAACATTACATACTTGGGTATCAACATTTCGTCCAGACTGTCAGAGTTGAATAATCTTAACTATATTCCACTTTTAAAAAAAATTGGAGATGAGCTAAAACGCTGGACTAACCTACCACTGTCACTTATCGGTCGCATTGCTACAATTAAAATGAAAATCTTACCACAAGTCAATTATCTATTCTCAATGCTTCCAACAACACCCTCCGAAAAATGGTTTAAATCACTTGATTCACTAACCTCTCATTTCTACTGGAAAAATAAAACACCTAAAATATCAATTGGAAAATTACAAAAAACAAAATCACAAGGCGGCCTAGAAGCTCCTAATTTTCTGTATTACTTTTTAGCAAATCAGCTACAATATCTATATAAGTGGATTCATAAAACTAAATATAATAATTCATGGATAGAACTAGAACAAAACCATTGTAAAGATACCTCAATTTCAGACCTTGTCTTTCTACCAAAATCAATTCAGAAAATGCCATATTTTAATAACATTACCATTGCATCAACTCTGACAGCCTGGTGGCAAGTAAACAAAATTAACAAATCCCCACTAACATCATGTAGACACACCCCCATCTGGTTCAACCCTGATTTTCAATTATGCAATAAACCAATACATTTTCCATCTTGGCGACAAAAGGGAATCACTCATCTCCATCACTTATTTGAAAACAACCAATTCATATTGTTTAAAACATTAGTCCAGAGGTATGGTCTTGGGGGAGAACAGTTTTTACAATATCAACAAATTAAATCCATAATAAAATCCAAGATTAACATAATTAATAACCCACTCCATCCCCCTCAGTTAATGGAAGATATAATGAAAATCACTAACACCAGCAAACTAATATCAAAACTACATAAATGTTTACTGAACAATGATACAACAATTATAATACCCAAAAACAAATGGGAAAAAGATTTAACCTTCTCCCCCAACACCGACCTCTGGAAAGAAATCTGTAACAACACATTTTCAATGACTAATAATGCTAACCTCCAGCTTATACAGTTCAAGATTATTCACAGGATTCATATCACCGAAAAGAAGATGTTTTTAATGGGCCTGAGGGACACAGACGTTTGTTCACAGTGCACACTGGGGAGCACAGATGATTATTTTCATGCCTTATGGACCTGTCAGTCAGTTCACTCATTCTGGATATCAGTGACCACAAAACTATCCGTTATCATGGGTTGTGAAATCCCTCTTTCTCCATCACTCTGCTTACTGAACAACTGCATTGAAGTTGATAATCTCCCAATCAATTACAAAAACCCACTCCTAATTTCTCTAACTATCGCCAAGAAAGTAATTTTGCAAAATTGGAAGTCCAAAAACCATATACACATCAATCACTGGACCAACCTTCTAATAGAATACATCACATTTGAAAAAATAACATATACTAACAAGAACATTATTTCTAAATTTCTTGATATCTGGAACCCATTCCTAACTCATCTTCATATACATCAGTAGCCTGGGACCGGACCAACGCACTTCCCCAATCACATGTTTACAAATTAATAATAAAATATTATCTGTGTATTACTGTACAGCACTATAATAGATGCCCCTTATATATAGGTATGAATGTGTGTGTATATATGGATGTATTTGTATGTATGTGTACGTGTATATAAATGTTTGTATATGTGTATATGTATAATATTTGATAAGCTGTATACTTTTATAATCTGCATTTTATCACTATTTGCTATATATCTTTATAGGGTGGTGGTAGTATGGAAGATGAAATATATTATTATTATTATAATTATTATTATAGAATTATGAGCCCCCCATTTCTTTTCTCTCTATAAGTAACCAGTCAGAAAATACTACGTATAAATATTAGTAACATTATTTTCTATTTACTATTACTATTTATTTTTATGTAATTTTATTTATTTATATTTTTTTTTTAACTGGGTCGGGCGTCTGGCCCGGGTGCTGTTGGTGGGCGCGGCTAGCACGCCCTGTTAGTGATTGGACTAAATGGCCCTTCCCCTTCACTACCTCTAGCCAAACCCCTCCCATCAAGTAAAATAATTCTTTTTAAGTGATACCAGGGTTGGATGTGGTGTCTCTGGCTAGGGAGCTAACCAGTGTACGCCTCGGTCCAAACCATGGGACAAAAAAAAAAAAAAAAAAAAAAAAAAAAAAAAAAAAAAAAAAAAAAAAAGGGGGAGGGGGACCAACCACCAATAACACTTGGCTGTGTCAGGTCACAAACAGACTAGGGGAGCTTGGTTTGGAGGTGCCTGTTGTGGTCCCCCGGTGGAAAAACTCAATGTAGCCCAGAAGTATAACGATGGGGGTTGGGTGTCACTGAAGGTGGTGGAGGGGAATCGTGTTATTGAATCGAGGGGAAACATCTGTGTCTGGGGGGCCTGTTGGTTGCGCTCACTGGCAGTTCTGGGTCAGCCCTCTGACCCAGAGTTTAGAGCAGATGTGCAATAAAAATAAAATTAAATGTATTCTTATTGTCATATTGCTATTGTCACTACTGTTGTAGATTGCTATAGCCTATATTATTATTATTGTCATGAATATTATCATTATAAATACTATCATTGATACTGCCACCACTAACACTAATACAGATGCGTGTATGTATGTATGTATATATATATATATATATATATATATATGTATGTATGTGTGTATATATATATATATATATATATGTATATGTTTCTTTGTGTTTGTCAAAGTCTCTATCATATCCTCTACAACTATTCAGATACTACCGAATTGCATCACAGAAAGGATCTCGTGTGCCTACATATACCACTTTGTCGATAACTGTGTGGGGCTGTTGTGAGTTTTTCTGTTCTCTGTTGTTTTTTTTGTTTTTTTGTTGTTTTTTTTTGTTTCCCCTTTCCTACTTCTGTATTGTAGATGTGTCTCACTGAATCTTACCTGGTATGTGTTACTGTTTTGTTAACCTGCAATAAAAAAAAGAAAAAAAAGAAAAAAAGAAAAAGAAGTTCGTTGAACTTCATAGAGTTCAGATCACTCAGCACGACGTTCGTGGTTTGACTTATCGAGACTATTTTTTAAGATGGCTCCTGTCTGTATACGCGAAGTGAACTGTCTTCATAAAGTATCTTCTTATTAAACGGTCTGTACACTTACAAAGTTAAAAAAAAAAAAAAAAAAAAAAAAAAAAAAAAAAAAAAAAGAATTGAATTATTCAGTGCTGCAATATGACACGACCTGCGAAAGTTCTTTGTGCTCGGTAGATAGACGATAATGACATTCGTTATCGATGATTTTTATTATTGATTATTATAAATATTTTCGATTAGTTTTGCAGCTATCAGTTCCTCCAGAAAAATGTGATCGTATAATTCAATGCATAATCAGCCAAAGTCTGTATAGTTAGGCGGGCCGCCTTTTTTTCAAATAAGCATAAATTGTTCTCTACGCCTCATTCGCGCCACAGGAATTTTTCACGCGTGTAACGCGTCTTTGCATTGACGTAACATTGAAATCACTTATGCCTGACGCTTTGTGAACGCAAAGCACTTTACAAAGCACTTCACACGCGCACATGGCAGCCATTGTAAGTCCACAAGACTGAACGTGCATATGAAGTGCGCCATTTGGGACAGGACCAATGTAGAGATTAATATGCTGATTCTTGATCGATTTTGTGTGTGTGTGTGTGTTTGTGTGGTGAGCGCACTGGTGCCGTTGTACTGTGGCTGCTGTCGCATCATACAAATGGATGCTCACTTTGGTGGTGGTTGAGGAGAGATTCCCTGATATGATTGTAAAGTGCTGAAGGTGTATGGTAGTACATATGAAAGTGCTATATGGAAGAGGTGTTAGTGAGGCCAGCAGGGGGTGCTCACCCTGTGGTCTGTGTGGGTCCTAATGCCCCAGTATAGTAATGGGGATACTATACTGTCAAAGAGCACCGTCCTTCGGATGAGACGTTAAACCGAGGTCCTGACTCTCTGTGATCATTAAAAATCCCAGGATGTCTTTCGAAAGAGTAGGGGTGTAACCCCGGGATCCTGGCCAAATTTGCCCAGTGGCCTCTGTCCATCATGGCCTCCTAATCATCCCCATATATTTTTTAGTGTGCCTTGCCTTCTCTTCAATCAGGAAGCTTAATAATTTTTTTGCAAAATATATTTTTTTAATTATATTGTATTTTTTTTTATAGGCAGAAGGGGAAGTTTTGATTTTGATCTTCCAAACAGTGAGTATACACAGAACATTGAATATGTTTATAAAACCATTAACTTGCTTTATTACCCCTTTTTAAACGTTGTGACCTTGATCCAGTTTAGATTGAGTGAACTTTTAATTCTCTTGCTTTTTTTCTTTAGTGTCTTTGAGAAGGATGGTGTTGGTGGGGAAGACCGGAGCAGGGAAAAGCTCTTCTGGAAACACAATCCTGGGCAGAAAAACCTTCAGAGCAGCAAAAAGCGGTTCATCCGTGACCAAAGAGTGCTGGAAAGAGACTGGAGAAGTGGCTGGAAGAGAAATTACTCTGGTAGATACACCCGGACTGTTTGACACAGGTGTTTCCGAGGAATATCTTAAGCAGGAGATCAGTAAGTGTATAAACATGACGGCACCTGGACCTCACGCCATCATCCTGGTCATTCAACTCGGCCCGTTCACTGAAGAAGAGAGACTCTCAGTGGAGAAGATCAGAACTATATTTGGAGAAGAAGCAGACAAACACACACTCATCCTCTTCACACACGGGGATGAACTGAAAGACAGCAGTATTGAAGAATACGTTGACGGAGCCAGTGAGGATCTCAGAGAAACCCTGAGACGCTGTGGAGGAAGATATCACGTGTTCAATAATAATGACATGGATGATCGTAATCAAGTCACAGAGTTCCTGCAGAAAGTGGAGGACATGATCTCTGATAATGGAGGAGGATTTTACACCAGTGACTCTTACCGGGGCGTGGATCTCATGCTGAACAATAAAGAAGAAGAACTGAAGAAGCTGTACGAGAAGAAACTAAAGGAGAAAGAGAGAGAACTGGAGTCCAGATATAGTGAAGAAAATAGGAAACTAAAGGAGAGAATTGAGGCATTAACAGCATCTGAGCAGGAGAAAGATGAGAAGATCAAAGAGCTGGAACGACTGAATCAGAGTAAAAATATGAAAATGATGGAGAACAAGCGTTATTATGAAGCAAAGCTCAGAGAGGCCAGACTGGAGGCAGAACTCACTCATATTAATGAGAGACAAATGAGAGAGATCCTCACCAAGTTACAAGGATTCCACATTTAATCATTCATGTGTATTTGATGAACACTTGTATGTCCTTTTCAAGGCCTTTGCTGTGCTCAGACGTGCAGTTATGTTTTTATGCTTATTAGACCGGAAAGTGTATAGGTTGAGAGAATTGAGCTGGAGAGATAGGAACGGGATTGGCAAAGCACCTCAAGCTAGGGATCAATCTCAGGTCACTGAAGATTTCATTTGCATTGTACAGTAGTCAACATTGAAGTGAATCAAAACCTTTCACTGTTTTGATCCACCTCAAATGTTGACTACTGGATGTCAGCGTTCTATCACAAGGCTTTACATACAGTTTTTAAAGTCGTCATCTTTTTAAAGGATTAGTTCACCCCCAAAATGAAAATTTCCTGATAATGTACTCACCCCAGTGCCATTCAAGATGTTCATGTTTGTCTTTCTTCAGTGAGAAAGAAATTAATTCTTTTGAAGAAAATGTTTCAAGATTTTTCTCGCGACCAGAATGTTGAAGTCCAAATCAATGCAGTTTCAAAGGACTTTAAAGTGCTTCAAATTACTTTCCTCAGTCCCAGCTGAGCAATATGGCCTTAGCGAATCGACCGGCCATGTTCTAAATATAATTTTGCCCATTAATGATCATGTTAAATAAAGTCAATATTGTCGAAAATAATTGCGTTACTCTTTTTGTCATAATCGAGCTGCCCTATTATGTGTAATATTTTAATTAGGCTAATATATAGGCCTATATAAAATAAAGCACTTTCTATTACTCCTGTTAATGAAAAAGTATTTGTCTCTTCTCCATTTCTCCTCTGATTAATCTTTATGGATTCAACTAATAAATGTTTTGCATATGACAAAATGTAATTTTATTCATTTGTAAGTCTGAATTAAAATATCAGCTATACGAATAAATGTTTATACTTTGAATTACATGTCTAACCAAATCATGTTTTGTGTATGAAATTGTGTCTTCAATAATGTTTTACGCCATTTTCTTTCTCTTAGAGGGCTTGGAGTTATTCTTGGATAATTTTTTATTTCAATAAAGATGTTTCATTTGATTACGTTTTACTTTAATCACTTAATTATCTCATTAACTTTAACACTCTTAAGTGTGGACTCATATACACTCCCAGGAGTGTTAGGCCCTGTCCCAATACTCCCTTGAGCCCTAAGGCCTTCCTCGAAGTGGACACTTGTTGAAAGTGCACTTAGCGGAGAAAGTGTGCAAGGGCCCGAAGCTGTGAAGAGCAGAATTGGGACAGTTTTGCACACGTGAAAAAGCTACATCAATTCTGTTGTGATAAGCAAACACTGTTCATTTGGCTAATGTGTGTTATGCTTATAATAGCTGTAACATGACACAATCCTTTGAATGAAAAAATTAATATCTTTTTTTTTTTTTTTTACTATTAGCCAGCAACCTTTCTGTTAATGTTATTAATATTAAAACATTTTTTTTTTTGGCTAAGATAATATGTGATTGAGGTTTGCCTGAGTTTATACTGCCTTACCATATTCACAGAGATTCGAAATGCAATGTTAATTGTTATTATGGAAATTGATGAAATTCCCATACATGAAAAAAAAACAAAAAAAAAAACATGACGTGTTGGTGATATATTTTGTATAGGCTATATATTAAAATAGTCTAACATATAGGCTGTATAAAATAAAATGACACAACCCTGTCTCTTTTTATTTTATTGACCAAGAATAGCCATTATTAAAGTATAAGTAGCTTAAAAAGTATAAGGAGCTATATAAGTCAAGAAATAAGGCAAGTTAAAAGATTCAGTCAAACATACGTTTCAACGTTACAGATAAATAGCCTAAATATATAAAGTTATGAAACTTCACTTTTCCCCTCAGCCAAAACGATTTGCCAGGGAACAAATCATAGATTAATGAGACCAAAGATCGCCCGTCTGATATACACAAGCCGATGTATAACTCATGTTTAACCACTAGAAACAGAGCCCGCGGGAAACGCGAAAGACTAGCCGGGGCAAGGCTGTTGCAGGCGGGGTACATGAGCGCTGAGCACCCGCCGCCCTGTGATCACCTGGAACTCCGAAAACGTCAGATCAATTTTTTAAATAGGCGCTATTTTTATAAATAAACCACAGATTTTAGCTTTAAACAACTATATTCTCGACTGAAAAACTCTTAAAACTACATTTCGTAACCCAATAACATAAATATTTTTGAAAAACTCACCACAATGGCTTCCTTCATCTTCGGAGTTTCCGCTCCCGAACAGCACCATAGCAACCGTTCTCCCCTACAAGGATTCTGGGTAATATCCCACAGCAAAGTGAGGTCTGATGCACACTTACGAAAAGGGTGCATTAAGTGCCCTTTTGATCACCCCTGGAGAACACTATTAGAGGATTGGGACACCCTACGGTCTTGCGAGAACGCGCATTGAGGGGCACAGGGGCGCAAGTGCGGATATTGGGACAGGGCCAGTATCAGTTCTTTTCAGTAGATTTATTTGCTCCGGTTGTTTTCTCTTTTGTTTCTGTGACAGATTTTTGAGCTCAAGTTTTAACATGAACAACAACCGACAACACATGCGTGAACTGCGCTTCAACTACACTTCTTCTCTTTCCTTTTCCCACTAGTCTTCTCTACCCACAGCGCCCCCAACAGTATACATATTTTCTGAGGCTTTCTACATTTATTCCAATCCGACAAAACACGGAAGTAAAGCAGCGCCGCCAGTGATATTTGTTTCCCAGGATGGTAGGGGAAGACTCATCAATATTCATTAGAGAACTCATCCCTGATTGGTCTTAACCCCAGTGACGGGTAGGTTTAGGGGTGGGGTTAGGGGTAGGTCGTGAGTCCTCAGTGACGGTTAGGTTTAGGGGCGGGGTTAGAGGTAGGTCATCAGACCAATCAGAGATGAGTTCCCTAATGAATATTGATGAGTCTTCCCCTACCATCCTGGGTAAAAAAAATATCGCGCGCCGCCAATACCATAGACATAATATATACATAGACACCCTATTGGCCGCTGGAGCGTACGTCAACGGCGCTGCCTGTTGTGTGCGCTGATTGGTGCTGTACAAATCGCCACACAACTGAAAGCAGCTTTCGAGGAAGTACCTTTCACAAGCAAGACTGAACGTTTGTTTTTGGTTGTATTTGGTCATGATTTAATTAGTAATACGTGTAGAGGTTAAATACTACTGTTATTGTGTCACAATGTAGTTTTAATAGTTTTTCAGTCGACAATGTAGTTGTTTAATGCTTAAATATGTGGTTTGTTTATAAAGATAGCGCCTATTTAAAAATTTGATCTGAATTTTTCGGAGTTGTAACTGCGCCCCCGCCCAGCGCTCGTTTACCCCGCCTGGATTGGAACAGCCGTACCTCGGCCAGTGCTTCTGACGGTTGCCGCTGGCTCGGATGGCTCTAGTCTAGAGGTTAAACATGAGATCTTGACCAGGACTAACCGGTTATTGTATCTCAATGGGACCTTCCTGGTTAAATAAACAAATAAATAAATAATAAAATAATAAATGAATAGGTTTTCTACCAGTATGTCAACGTGCCGTTTGAATGGTTTTGCTGTGTGCTGCTGAGAGAGTCACAGCGCCCCCTCCCGGAGACAAACAGCGTCACGTGTTTCAAAAGTGAAAGTAAAAATGCAGTTCTGCCATTTTGTTGAAGACGGAAGACATTTTAGCCTGGGTTGTTTGTGTGCTTCTTTGTAAGTTTAACTTTTAATTCTTTTGTATTTTCTTATGCTGAAATATGCGGATTAACCTGTCAGTAAATGTGTATATGTCTGAGTTATGGTTTCGTCAGTAGGCCTAAAATAACGTGAGCTAAAACTTACATGTGCTCTATAATCTGTAGAACGTGAACTGAAACGTGAACTGAAATGTATTTGAACTCGATTCTCTGTAGCCTTTATTGGCGAGTGTTCGCATGGCTGTGTGTTGATCTATAAGTATGTCACCTTTAATAACTAAACTAAGCAAAAATATGTTCAAAGAAAGACGTCCACTGAGGGGCCAGAATTAAATGACTTTTCATGTGACGTGTTCTGCACGTCTGATATAGACGTTCATGGAACCTAAAAACCTGTTAATGTGGCCATTGTGGGCATATTTTTAACATCATTTATGGTCTCATTTAGATATATTTATACTGTTTCTGGACCAAATAAACGCTCTCAGGATGCATTTCATTTAAACTCATGTACATATGTCAATGTAATTTCCATCTGTAATTCCAAAGCACCTCACACACACACTTTGTGTTTGTCCAAAAATCATGAAACATGTCAAAAGACTTTCATTCGTGCTGTTTGTGGAGTTGTTTAATCCTCCTCTGAGATCTTCAGAGATTTAATGTCTTCTTTTCTCGTCAGGTGATTTCATCAGACTGTGTCTAAAGTCAGTCAGTTGTAGTTCTGTAGTCAGTGTTTTTGGTCGTCTCTTTTTCTGTTCTCTTCTTTCCTTTAGTGATTCTGCTTGTTTAACACCGTGTCCTAACTAGCCTACACGTGACACCGTGTCCTAACTACACGCGACGCGATAAAATTCCAGCGACAGCAAGTGTGTCTGTCCACACTAGACGCGACGCGACTATGAGATGCCACAAATTCAGAACAGCGTCTCTCTGTGAAAGCGTACTGTTGGCCCACACTCGCATTGGAAATGGGTAAGGACATAATCAAATCAAGAAATAACATTATTAAAAATCAAAACATTAACAAAATCCTACTCATTGACTAATTTTGTTATGAAGTACAGTTTGCATAGAATTCATTTTGAACGCTATATTAACTTACATGCTTTCAAAATCTGAGGTAAATTATCCGTTATCGCATGTGGCACACTATTTTTAACTAAAAATAAATAATGTATACTCACAACCAGTGTAATTTCTTCATTCTGTCAGCCGCGACGTCGCAGAAATAGGAACCGTTTCTAAATTAGAAACTTCGCGTGTCGCCGTCGCGTCTGGTTAGGACAAAAACTCTGATTAACATGGAAAAGATACCTTTTATCGCGTGTTGCGGCGTCGCGTCGCGTGTAGTTAGGACACGGTGTGACGCGACGCCGCGACACGCGATAAAAGTATAGCCCCGTCCATGTAGCCCCGTTCAAGCCCCGTTCACACGCGACCAAGCGACGCGATACCATTCATCATCATTAATCAGTTTTTGTCCGAACCAGACGCGTCGGCGACACGCTAAGTTTCTAATTTGATTTAGTTTAGTTTCTAATTTGACGTCTGATTTAGTTTCTACTTCTGCGACGTAGCGGCTGACAGAATGAAGAAATTACACTGGTTATGAGTACACATTATTTATTTTTAGTTAAAAATAGGTCACTGTGCCACAAGCGATAACGGATAATTTACCTCAGATTTTGAAAGCATAGCGTTGAAAAAAGAATTCTATGCAAACATACAACTGTACTTCATAACAAAATTAGTCAATGAGTATATGTTGTTAATGTTTTTATTTTTAATAATGTTATTTCTTGATTTGATTATGTCCTTACCCATTCAATGCGAGTGCGGGCCAACAGTGCGCTTTCACAGAGAGACTCCGCTCGCACGCTGTTCTGAATGTGTGGCGTCTCACAGTCGCGTCGTCTAGTGTGGACAGACACACTTGCTGTCGCCGGAATTTTATCGCGCCGCGTGTAGTTAGGACACGGTGTTATTGGTCATCGGATGCCCATTTTCCACAAGTTGGCTTGATTCTTTAGGGTCTTTATGCAAAGTTTGTAATATACTTTTGGTTAAAATTCCTCATTGGTTATGTAAACCGGCACCCTTTTTACCTCGTCAAAAACAGCTCTTTTTAAAGGGACCCGTTTCGGTGCATGTCTCTTTAAATGATAATGAGACTCCACAGTCAACACTGTCGCAAAACACATACACATGATAAATATCCAGTGAATTCTTGCAAGTCCAAAATAAAATGGTTTTAAACTAACATAATGTAATTAAAGAAAAAATATTAATTATAGATATCATTATATGAATATACAGTAAATTAAATATTGATATGGAAATAAGTAAGAGTAGGATTACACTGTGACTCGTACACACTTTAAGATTGATATGGCTTCATTACTTGAGTTTAGTGAAAATCATTAAAGGGATACTTCACCTCTGGGAAGATAAATGTGTATTTAATATTGGTCATTTATATAGTAGAAATGTGTAATTATTTTTGAAATTGAAGCTTTGTAGACTGAGAAAATGCAGAAAATGTATTTTTTACTCAGGTGGCTGAAAGACTTCAACTCCCAGAATGCAATTGCTTTGCTGCCCTTACGAGGCCACTCCCAAACCACACCTACCGGTTACAGACGGCAGAATCCAAAAATGGATACAACTTGGCTTGTTTGATACATCTTGAGCTATTTGATAAATTTCCATCGAAATGGTGCTAAATTGCATTGTACCGGGATGTACTAGCCTAATGTATATAACACGACTCAGACTTTTTAACATTAGAAATATGATGCAAGACAGGACCATGCTAAGAGAGTAGCTTAGTAGCTCTGCTTATGAATTGTTTTCATACCAATTGAAATCACTATTTCTCTAAGCTAATAGGCTACATTATCTAGGCTAATCCATACTCTACTAACACTAAAGGTGTATAAAAAGAACCACAACCAATGTGAGTTATAACTTTTATTCATCGATCTCACCAGAGGACGTTCCTCTATCTCTTGCAACTGTTTATCACTGTTTATCGCTGCTCGTACAGCTAGCCGCGAGCTTTAGATTCTCGCCCGTCCCAGCTCAAGTCTGACTCGCTCCGGCCGGCTGTTGATCCTCCATCTCCCGCGACTGTTTAGCCGGTAGCAGCGAACATCAGATTCTCACCCGTCCCAGCTCGAGTCTGTCTCGCTCCGGCCGCTTGTTTCTCCATCTCCTGCAACCGTTTGCAACTGTTTATCGCTGTATTGCGGCTCGTACAGGTAGCCGCGAGCATCCGATTCACGCCCGTCCCAGCTCGAGTCTGTCTCGCTCCGGCCGCCTCTTGTTCCTCCATCTCCTGCAACTGGCTCGTACAGGTAGCCGCGAGCATCAGATTCTCGCAACAGATCTTCGAAAACCCCTTCTGCCATTTCAACTTCAAAACTACTTTCTACCATCGCGATTAGCCTACTATACAAACTTTCTACACAGACCAAGAGGCTAGAGCCCGTTAGCTTAGCTTCTACAGAAAGATGGCTGACACGATGTTTACATTCTGTGAGTGAGATCCCGCCCCATATGAGCGTGGTGAAAACATGCGGAAACTGGCTGTAGTCTTTAGCCTCTAGCCCAAAAATCCTCCGATGACGCAATTTTTTTTTTTCAGGAGGATTTTTTTCAGACTTAAAATTCATTTTTCTCTCATATTAGGGGGATATGAGGGGGGAAGCAAGGTAATTCGAAAATACTACTGGTTTACTACTGATACAAAGCTTAATGCTAAATCCTGAAGTATCCCTTTAATCCTACAAATCTAATAATTTCTGTGGTCATCAAAAATAATATTAATAAATCAAATATTAATGCATGTCAATTTGTTCATACATTTTTTTTATTTGCTTTTAGTCTGGACTCTTTCGTGAAGAAATAGCCTTGAAGAAGGATAAAGGACTTTGACATGAGGGTGAGTGACTCTTTTTCCTCTATGGATTATTTTGTAATTGTATCAGACATATTAATGGATAGATGTTTTAACTGGCGTTATGTTTGTGTATTTTAGAGGTTTCAGAACACAGTGTCGATGAGCGAGGGAGATGATGAAGATCTACGGCTGCTGCTGATCGGTAAAACCGGATCTGGGAAAAGCGCCACCGGGAACATCATCTTTAACGATCGAGTGTTTAAGTCAGTAATGAGCTCTTCATCAGAGACCAGATCCTGTCAGACACACACTGGATCTGTTAATAACAGGAGTGTAAGAGTCATCGATACTCCAGACTTCATCTTCTCCACTCACACTGACTTTGATTCAGACTCAGAGCTGAAGAAAGCTCTTGAATCATGTTCACCAGGAGCTCATGTGATCCTGCTTCTTCTGTCTTTAAGCACTTTCACTGAGCAGGAGATGGATTTCACAGGTTGGTTTGAGCAGAAGTTTGGTGCAGAAGCTCTCAGATTTACTGTAGTGCTCTTCACTCATGCAGGTCAGAGACACATGATGACACTAGCAGAAATGATCAGGATGAATCCTCAATTATCTGATTTTATTAACCGATGTGGTCGGAGATATCTTGAGTTTAACATTAAAGCTCCAGCAAACAGAGGACAGGTGACTGAACTCATAGAGAAGATCGATATACTCGTGTCTGAGAACACAAACTCCTGCTACACACTCGACATGATGCAGGAGACTGAGAGGAGAAGAAAGGAGAGAGAGAGAAGAGCAGAGGAGGAGAGGAGAGCAGAGGAGGAGAGGAGAAGAGAGGAGGAGAGGAGAGAGCGGATAAGAGAGGAGGAGAGGAGAGAGAGAAAACACCAGATGGAATTAGAAAGAGTCAAAATAGAGACAGAAATTAGTGTGAGGAGATATATTGAACAGGAGAAACAGAAGAGAGCAGAGGAGGAGAAGAGAAAAGAGAATGAGAAGAGAGAGAAAATAAGAGAGAAGGAGAGGAGAGAGAGAGAACGCCAGATAGAATTAGACAGAGTCAGAATAGAGACAGAAATACGTGCGAAGAGAGAATTTGAGCTCAAATTAAAGCAAGAAAAAGCCAAGATTGTGGAGAACAAAAAGAAAGCTGGGAAACAGCTGAAGTATGTTAGTGTTCTTATGGTTTTTGCTGTGATGTCAGGAGGTGTTTTGGTGTGGAGGAGAGACTCTTCACATGGAGGGATGTTCATTAAGGGTTTCATTGCAGGAGGGTCTGTAAGAGTTCTCACTGGGATTCTCTGGAGATTGATGTTGAAGAGTCAGTTTATCTGTTCATCTTCTCACGAGCGTCCCAGCGCTTTTGGACAGATATTACTGCAGACAGCAGGTGTTGCGTGTGGTGGTATATTTGCTGGAGCTTTTATTCATCAATTTAAAGGAGAAAATCTACTTCATATTCCTGTGTTACCTGGAGCTGCTGGAGCTCTCACAGGAATAATTACGAGCTCCATATTTTCATGTTTTTACAAAAATGTTTAAATGATATCATTGAGATGTAAAAAAAATGTGTATATTATATGCAATTATGCCGTGGTGTGTCGCCAAAATTGTGTTCTACGTTATTTTAGAGCTCAGCTTGTCATGTGATTAATTGGGCAGCTTTGTTGCAAGTGAAACTGAAATGAATTAAATCTGTAAGCTTTTATGATGACTGCCTTCTTTTAAACACCAATCTTAAGCAGACATTTATATTCAATATAACGGAGGCCAGCTGGTAGTTGCTGTGCGAGTAACCCTCACTCCTCTGATCTCAATAGGCCCTCTAGCGACAGAGGCTGCGGTCTTTAGCCTCCTTGTGTCTGACTCTCATGCCAAAGACCCGGGTTAAAGGCCGCACAGGGGTGCGTTTCCCGAAAGCATCGTTAGCCAACTATGGTCGCAAGTTGGTCGCAATTTCCACTGAACTCTATTGGTAACGACGGAACTTGCGGCCATAGTTGGCTAACGATGCTTTCGGGAAACGCACCCCTGAGCGGGGCGAGTAGGACTCAGGTGGAGGGGTTACATGTGCATTTAACTTTCAAGTTATGATTTAATTTAAAATTGTAAGTATAGGATGTTTACTGCAAACATGAAATGTTTCAAAGTGGTTCAGAATGGTAATAATAAAACAAATTTTTATATTAGGTATAAATTGTGAGTATTAGGTGAAAGCTATCAAGCATACAATAACATTAATGTTACAAAAGCCATAATAGAGTATAAGAACACAGGCCTCATTTATGAAATGTTGTGTAGAAACCATCATAAGTTTGACAACCATTTCTTAATATTCAGAGCACGAATGTAATCTTTCAGATGTGGAATATATAAGTTGCAAATGTTCTTGAAATTGTGCGCAGCTGAATGGTTTCAGATCTTCACCTAGAACGACACATAACTAATTCAGTTAACATAGAGGAGATCCAGTCACTAACCAGCCTGAAAGCAAATATTGAATATTTGTTAACCTTTTCTGTGATGTCAAATGCTTTCCACTGTAAATAAAATGTACACCATTGAAAACAATTGAGTGTTTATTGGTCATACACAAAAATATAATGCATGGATAGAAAACATTATTTTTCAGTTTATTTTAACTTCTGAACAGTTAAAGGGTTAGTTCACCCAAAAATTAAAATGATGTCATTAATGACTCATGTCGCCCCAAGCCCGTAAGACCTCTGTTCATTTTAAGAACACAGTTTTAAGCCCTATTCGCACAGGATTAGTATTATCTGGTGACCTGTAGTAATTTGTAATAATTGCGGAGTTTGTCTGTGATCTTAATTCCGTGCGAATCGGCCATGTCTGTAATTTGTAAAGTAAATATTCCCCCGCCTACTATATTTCGCTGAACACCAAGGTCCTGTGATAATATTAGTCCCGTGCGAATCAACATCTCTTTGTTTTGGCTGGATCGTATATCATTTTTTCAAGGTTTTTGTTTCATATGCGCCTTTTTATCCATCTTTGGCGAAGAATGAAGGTCATATCGCTATACACAACTACACAATTTGCAGAAAGTAAAAGCTGAAAATCATCAGAAGAGCAAAAACAATGATTAGATTAACTGTAGCATTAAGCATTAACTGTAAGCAACTATTTATTCGGTTCACCTGACGTCACTGTAGCTTTGCGGCGCCATCTTTGCGACCGACGGTCTCAATCATGCCTGCAATATGTTGTGCAGTTGGCTGCAACAATAGCCGAAAGAGGAACCCTGAACGGGTATTTTATTTTATAGCAAAAGAAGAAAGAAGAGAAAACCATTTATTTAAAAGACTTGAAGTCTCATGTTGCTGGTGTGTGGTTAATTATATTTCTATTGTAGTCTACTCTCAGTGGCCAACATTATACAAACAGATATCGACAGATAATGTTTTTTCTTCGTTTTATTTGTTGGATCTGTTTAAATGCACTTTATCATGGTGAGTTATTAGATTTGGAGTTATTTTGAACATAACTGTCTGTCTGTCTGTAAGTTAATACCTACCTAATTGTAATAAATATTTTTCTGAAGTTCATAAAGATATTGTCTCTTCCACATGCACTTTAGATGTTATTTTGTGTAAGTAATGTTAGCTCTGCAGACGATCTCAGCCTTGAAATGCATATTAAAGGACAAGTTCTTTCAAAAAGGATAATTCTGCCGTCATTTAACTAATGTTACACACCTTCATGTGCAAATTCTTAAGTTTACTTTCTGTGGAAGACAAAGGGACAGCAGCCTAATGGAGACTCTTCTTGTCGATGTAATGAAAGTGAATGAGTAAATAAAAAAGCATCACAAAAGTATCATAAAAGGGATCTAATACGACTCCTCCCTTATATTAATATCGTTATTTATGAATATGATAGCTTTATGTGACAAACAAACTGCAATTTAAGTCATTATAATCACTGAAGAGCTTTACCTCTTGGTAGCTTTTAATCGCATTCAAATCATTCAAAAAGATTCAACTCGAAAGACTCATTTCATTTCGATATTTGTGTGTATTAAACCTTCTGTTCTTTCGGACAGATATGGCAGTCTTTTATGATATTTGACTGATGTCTCTGACTGTGCTGATGCAGGTGTATCTGTGCCAGTGCTGCTGTTCGGATTAGAAAGATTCATTCATGCCAGCCGAACTGCTGCAGAAGATTCATTCATGATATCGCCTCGACTCTCATGAACGCATGCCATAGCTCTATGACATATGTATTTCTATATAATGAAAGGCCGATTGGGGCAAGCCTGGGGCAGATAATAATGGACTAAAGAAAACTGGGGGTAACAAATAAGGATCGGAGCCTAAAATTGAAATTTTCTCCAGGTATCTCCGTCTCTCTCTCTCATTCAGTTTGGGCGGCCGTACCGGGCGAGTCGGTCACAAATATGGCGGCGTTCTATTTGTAGTGACGTAGGTGGCATCTATGAATACCAGCAACTACACCAGCAACTGCACCACCAACTACACCACCAATAACAGCAACAGCTATTGTTGAAGATTTTATTATTTAGAAAATAAGTAACTTAGCTAGATATTTGAACACTATTAGCTCCTGTGTGTGTGTCCTTGAGTTTGACTTTTGGAAGCCCAAAAGGGCCGATGCTGATAGAACAGAGAGAGTACTATTTCAGTATGTCACATGGTACAGGGTATTTTTAAAATATCTATAGAATGTGTTACCATTTGTGGAAAAGATGAAAGGTATATATGGAGAAGATAAGCCGCTGAGAGGGAGTGACTGGTCTCCAGACGTCGCTCGCCTTTGTTTGTGAATAAAGTCTAATATTTCTGGCATCAGAGATCTCTGCGAAGTCATTTAAAAAAAAGAAGGCAAAAAGAGGTTCACTATCATCTTAAAATAATACCAAAACATGGACATAAATTGCTTAAACCCACTGCTTGGTTTTTGTTTTGGTGGCACACTGTCATTTGTATCTTGCTCTTGGTTTTTTGTCTTATTGTTCTCACTCTGTATCGATGCTTGAAGTCTTTTTCGTTCTGACTTCAGTTTAGCTTCAAACTCTGCTCTGAGTCTCTCCTCTGTCTCCTTTTTCACTTTCTCAATCTCTTCCTCTTGTTGTTTTTTCTCTCTCAATTTTCTCTTATTTTCCTCTCTCTGTTTTCTCTCTTCTTCCTCTCTCTCTTTTTCCTTTTCCTCTCTCTGTCTCTGCTCTTCTTCCTCTCGTCTGAGTCTCTGAGCATCTTCATACATCTGATTACTGTAGTGTCCTCCTCCATTCTGCTCTATCATTTTGTCAATCTTCTGCAGTAGATCATTCACCTGTTTTAAACTTCTCTTTTCATTGTTGAACACGTGATATCTGCCTTCACACTCCTGAACTAGATGTCTCAATGCTTGATTTTTCTCAATGAGTTTCTCAACAGACTCTCCTTTCAGCTGATCTCCATGAGTGAAGAGAATGATGGAGTATTTTAACACTTCTTCACCAAACAACATCTCAATAATCTGAGGAATCAGCTGCTCCTGTTCAGTGAATCTGTCATCTACTCTGAACACAATGATAAAAGCGTGCGGTCCAGGACTGGATATATAAACACTTCTCGCTATCTCTGTTATTAACTCTTCAGTTTTCATCTTTGTGTCAAAGAATCCAGGAGTATCAACTACAGACACAGATCTGCCTGAAACAGTGGCATGAGCATCTGAACATTCACTGGTTACTGAACTCATACTCCTCGCAGAGTAAAACTCTTTCTGTCCCAGTATTGTGTTTCCAGCTGCACTCTTTCCAACTCCACTTTTACCCAGAAGAACAATCCGTCTGGATGGGAGACTGGCAGCAGGAGCGTGTGGATCAGCTTTCTTTGGTAATTTTCTCTTCGGTGGATTTATCCTGGCTCCTTTTAATGCTTGAAAAAGGAAAACAGAAAGTTAAAATCTTTAACAAATTCTCACAGGGATGCACCTGAAGCTCAATGCAGAATTCAAAAAGGAAATGGCACATTCTAGAGAGTCACTGAAGGGACATGGTGAAGCAAAAATATGAGACAGGAAAAAATATATTTCAGTGTGTCTTTTGCTTTCTTAAGTAATTATGCACTTGGGCAATTGCATTATATCATTTTCAGGCATCAGGGAGCAGCTATCAATGTGATACTGCAATAGATTTTGAAGGTGCGCTTGCTTTTCACTTTCACTTTCAAACTCACAATCACTACAGCAGCAAACCCAAATATGTGCTTTTCAGGGTTCTGTAGATTGAGTTGTTCATTTTCTGTGCCTTTCTGAAAACATTATTGAGCTTCAGGCACATCCCTTCTCACAACATGTGAACATTTTTAAAAGTCAAATATCAAAATCTTGCATTGTCTTTATTTATTGTAGAAGGTTGTCTATTATTGTCTACATGTCATTGTCGTTCTATACGTTCTTTATTGTATGTCACACAGGACAGAAATGATAATTTACTAAATCTGAATCAAAAAAACTTGAATCAAACTTTATAGTTATTTACCTTTGTAGGTAGACTACAGTTGTCATTAATATATACACACACACACATTAATATATACGCACACACACACACACACACACAAATATATATATATATATATATATATATACACTGTATACACACACACATATATATATATATATATATATATATTATAATTTAATAAAATTATATTTGGTAATTGGTTAAAAAAAGACTCACCCATTGTATTAAAGAATGTCCCGATCTTGTTAATCAGGAATTTAACTTGTCCAGAGTGTCCTCTCTTTTTGTTGTTGAACACATGATATCTCTGACCATATTTCTGAACGAGTTGTTTCAGTGGTTCAGTCTCACTGATGAATTCCTTTATTGTAATGTTTTCTTCCTCCAGTTGATCTCCCCCAGTGAAGAGAATCCAGGTTTTCTCCAAGCGGTTTTGACCCAAAAGTTTCTCAATCTTCTCCACAGTTTTTCTCTCTTCTTCAGTGAATCTGTCAGTTTTGATGACCAGCAGAAACGCACAGGGATTTGATTCACACTCCTGAAAAATGCCCTGATATTTTAATTGAATCTCATCCTCAGTCAGATCAGTGTCAAAGTATCCTGGTGTGTCATAAACGGTAACTGGGCATCCGCAGATATTACTAGATTTCTTAGAAACATGTTGTGTGACAGATTTGGGGCTTTTCCTTGATATGAAAGCTTGTTTTCCCAGTATTGTGTTTCCTGATGCACTCTTTCCCGCTCCTGTCTTTCCCAGTAGGACCAAATTCAGACCTTCAATGGTTTCTCCCATAGTCAAATGTGGTCTGAAGTGCTGTGAGAAAATAATTGACACATAAATATCTTATATTTTCCATTAAAAAAAAAATAATAATGAAGAAACAATAACCTGAGCATTCAATTAAAATCTGCCTGTTCTTAATTTAAGTGTATTTATTTAAACTTTTTTAGTTTTCTGTGGAAATAATTTATTCATGTCTTAAAATATCTTGAATGTAACTCTACACCCTTCATTAGCTTCATTTTTAGTCGTACCCATGAAAATGCAAATTTATCCTTGCCTCCACTATTTATATAATTTGACCTGATCATCCACTCGGATAAATATAGTAAACGACAAACAATGGCAAGTGTAAATACTGCTTTGATTGATTCATGCATGTTTGAATCAGAAAGTGATTCAAAAGGAAGAAGATGCAGGTTCACCTAAAAGTCCATGTATCATATAATACGTGTTTCGGATCATTTTCCACAATACATAAATACACTCATATGATTAGAATACACACATATGATATTAAAAATGACACATTGTGAGACGTTGTGTCAGTTAACACATGTGCTCAGGGACAACCAATGTTGAGTCAAATTTAACACAATATACATGTGTAACGGAGTAAAAAGAGTTGCTAGTTAAATTATATTAAAAGTGATGCAACTACGCCATCTGGGGGCAGTTTGATTCAGTATGACTGTGGGAATCGCGCTGTACTTACCCACACTGTATATGAAGAGATAATGGGTAAGTCACGCAATTTGGGAGGTCTGGGACAATCAATGTTTTCTTATAATTCTAAGTACATATGTCTCGTATTTTGTCACACAATGTACTTATAATGATTTCAGTTAACCATTTTGAGTTTATTTGATGATTTATGTGTCGTGTAAAGCCATGTTTTAGAGATTTGCGACCAAGCAAATTTACACGTGAACTAGCGTGCTAATTGTCACTTGCTTTACATGCTATTTAGATTGTTGTCCCGAGATCTAATTGCTGAACCAAGATTCAACACTGTCATACTGTGTTTCAGGTAATAATCTAATGTTGTGTAAACGATTTTATTGTCATGTTATTTGTTGTATGCAAATCGAGTTTAGTTATCTTGCAGACCAGCGTGGTAGTTTTGAGATTAGTCGAACATGTGCTCGACTGCTGTGTTTGCAATGATAATGTTCCTTATTTTGTTATTTCAATATAATATAAAATGGATCAAACAGTTTCATGATTGTAATGCTGAAATGTACTGTATGTAGTATGTAGGGATTATAATTCAGCCTAAATATTCTAAAACCACTATACGATCACACAGTTTTATTTTATTTCATAGACATGCAAGTCTATGCATTTTTGTTGTGAATATGTTTGATATCTAATTTGGTTTATACCCCATTAGAAGTATCATATACATTTGTAACTAGCACAAATACATTCCTGTATCTGTATAGCATTTAACCCACACTGTATATGAAGAGAAGAGATAATGGATTGTTGTCCCGAGATCTAATTGCTGAACCAAGATTCAACACTGTCATACTGTGTTTCAGCAATAAAGAAACCTGATCCAAGAGATTGTCCGTGGTGATGTGTAGCAGCAACAGTAGAATGGAGTGACCCGTCACATATGTTGAGTCATTTTAACGCACAAATTGTTAAGTAATTAAATACTGCAAATACTGTAAGTATTTTTAAGATAAAAGGAGACAGGCAGATGCAAAAATATTAACCATTTAATCAAGTCGACAACATAATGCATGTACAAAGTACCCGAAAAACAAGCTTGTATAATGACTGGACAGACTCACTGTACTATACATTATTCAATTATTCACTCTTCAACACCTGATTGATAATGCTTTTGAGAAAATGTGATCACATGTTTATTGATTATTAAAAAAAGTCATCAATCACTGATCTAATCAAGTTATTGAGTAGTTCCTGAGTTTTTCTATTAGTTCTAAATGTTATTCCGTATATCATTATGTTATTCAGCAGTACAGAACGATTTCTTTAAAAAAAAACTTTTATAGCTGCAGCAGAAACTAGTGAAACAGACTTCAAGATTCAGTCAGCATATGATTCTCAACAACTGACAATCAACAAAATATTAAAATAAATAACTGATAAGCGGCTATCTAAATCAACTGAAAAGACATGAAATCACTCTAAAACCAGTTGGACTTTATTTCTATCATTAATCTACAGATTTTCTTTTTGAGAATTAACACATTTTTAGATGTTGGACAATGTATGGACTAGCTGTTTGCTCCTGTCTGCATCGATTGCTCTTGTCTGCCTCACTGCCTGCTGCTGTGTGTTTGTTTGCTTCAAGACAGTACAGTCCGTCCAAACCTCATATAAGCTTCGTTTTTGTTTAGTTTTTTAGCATGATTTCTAGTTTTGTATACTACTAAATACATCTTACCCAACATCTCAGATTTTTAGTTTTTTTTTTTTTTTTTAAGAAATCGTTCTCTACTGCTGAATAATAAATGTATATTCAAGAAACTTTTAGAACTAATAGAAAAACTCTGAAAATTTATTAGATCAGTGATTGGTGACATTTTTCACAATCAATAAACATCTGATCATATTTTCTCAAAAGCAGCATTATCAATTATGTGTTGAAGAGTGAATAATTGACTAATGTACAGTTCCTTACACCGCTAGCTTCCGTTATAGGTGTAGGGAATCAAGGCGAATCAAACACAACTTAATCAAATTAATCTCTCATGCGATTAATTCACATGGCTTCAACACTCCAAGTTCTGGAGCCCACATTCCAGAGTCACAGAACGGCACCAAGAGTTTGCTTTGGGGGGACAATAAACCCCCCCTCCGAAGACTTTTATGGTCCTGCAGATAGCAACAGAATGCCACAGGAAGAAACGTGTCAATATGTTACTGTTTTACTAAGACAGATCGGCTCCAAAATGGTGGAACGAGAGGCTCACAACCAAGACCCCTTTGATCCCCTGACAGAGATGTTCCACAGAACACATCTCCTCGTCCCCCTTACGAGTTGAACTCGCAGTAACCTTGCGGTTGAGATCGGAGATCTCACACATAAAATCATATAAACTCACCACAGAACAATTCTTGGACCTATAACCAATCATAATTGTTGTTGTTCCTACACTTCATGTGTTATTATGCTTAGATCACATAATAACCATGTAATTGTTGTTAACTATTAACTCTTGTAATTGTTATACAACCATTAGAAGTGTGAATGCCTCGTTTGCTCTTAAACGAACCGTATTCTCCTAATTCAAAAGATGGCTTGATTGAAATCTGCGTAAAAGGTTTTGTTTTATGATTATAATTATCATAAGGTTTAAACGATGGTCTTTTGCCTCTGCTAAGTGCTGGAGACCAGCTCACAGACCATGCATAAATTATGATAAAGAAAGAAGTAGATCCACCTCCTGAGATCATGCCATTACCCATTGGCCTGAAGTTTCTAGGAGGATGGACTAGAGTTTAAGTTAAAGATCCGAACAAAGGACCTCATGTTCAGAAGATTTTTGGGATTTTTGTTAGATTTTTGTTCGTGTTTGTAACTGTTAAGTTCGTGCCTCTCTCTAAAACCAGCAAGAGAGTGTTCTGTTCGTGCTTATCTCTGAAACAAAGAACATGTTTGCATGCTTCTACATCGACTAGACCAAATTCGACCAGCAGACGAATAAGCCATCAAGATCAGGGTTACAATTCAGCTCAGTCAAGCCATCTGACTCGTCTTACTTTCATTTCTTTCCTTTATTTCCTTTTTCGTAAAAGTCTCGTTTCAAAGTTAAGTTTGCAACGCGCTTCGAACTGGAAAAGACTCTCATTCGCTTGCTAATCACACGTGACCAGCGGCGAAACTTCCATCCCTGCACTTCAAAGACAACAAACCACGCAACGGACCCGGCCGGGAAACCCCCCTTCGACGCGACGCAGACAAAGGGAATTCCCTCAGCCACTACAAAGCGCAAGTACTCCAGGCTCTAACTGAACTGGTGCTTTAATGTTAATTGAATAACCTCTCTAAGAAATGAAGGTTCAAATTAATGCTTGGTGGTCCCTTCAGGTTATGTCTTACGTGCATATAGAAAGTTGAAACTTTCTCTCTCACTCTTTCCAACTCACTCTTTCCCTTTCGCGACTGTATGAATGTGTGTGTGTGTGCGTGATTATGTTTAGTTGTGTTTAGAATAGCTAATAAAGTCTTCCATATATTTGAAAAGATAAATCTTCTTGTGTCGTGTTTGCACATTTAATGTCTTGTACTGTTCGATCTAAAAGTTACCTTGCTAAGACATAGTGTTTCACTATAGATTTGGTTATAATTACGGCCCGTTCAAATGAATTCTAAGCGAGTCATTTGCTCGGTTCAGTGATTCGGTTCCATAAATTCATTGCAAATCAATGAATCATTTCCCTTTGAGCTAAATTGGCCTTCGGCCCCCTTAAATACATTTTATGTATATTATTAAATGTTGCATTTGCTACATAGGGGTGGGGGAAAAAAAATCACCCAAAATCACCCGATACAGCGTAGTATCGCGATATTTTCTGTGGCAATACTGTATCGACACACGGGCACCAACAAGTATCAATCTTTTTTTGCAATATTTAATTATAAAATTATCTGTTTTACTTTCCGGTTTTCTTCATTGGTTTCTCTATTTTTCACTGCTTGAGAACATAGATTGAATCCGAAATCGCCCCCTAAACAATCATTCACTAAGTTAGGCTTATTTAAGTCAGTCCACTAATACTGTTCACTTGAAGGAGTGAATGAAAACGAGTGAACGAATTCAGACAGCCGTTGAGCGCAGTTTTAGGCTACACGTTAACGGAGTAGTTCACTTTAAAAAAAAAAAAAAAAACTTTTGCTGATAATTTACTCACAAACTGTGTTTCAGTGCAAACTGTTCAAAGGGCTTTGAACGACACCAGACGATGAATAAGGGTCTTATCAAGCGAAATGATTGCTCAGTTAAAAAATAAATAACAAAGTTTAAGTTTTATAAGCTCAAATGCTCGCCTTGCTCTGTTCTGTGATGCGCGTTTGTGACTCTCCTTGTTCGAACTCGTTCATCAAAATGAACGAATCTTTCTCCGAGTCAATTCGGTCATTTCGTTCGTTAAATGAACCACACGACTCAGAAAAAGATTTGTTCATTTTGATAAACGAGTTTGAACAGGAGAGTCACGAACGCGCATCACAGAACAGAGCAAGGCGAGCATTTGAGCTTATAAAACTTGAACTTTGTTATTTATTTATTAAATGAGTGATCGTTTCGCTTATTCATCGTTTGGAATCGTTTAAAGCCCTTTGAACAGTTCGCAGTTTGTACTGAAAGTGTCTTTTGGATACTTTCGCAGAATCGAATCGCAATACTTGCTTGTATCGCAATATATTGAGAATCGCAATAATTTTAAATTGTGGCCCAAATATCGCGATACTATTGAATCGTCACATTTTTGCCAATTCCCACCCCTATTCCGTTATTGTTATCACAACACACTAGTAATTCGCTAGTCTTTAACGCATCACTTGTGTGCTCCTTTATTTATTTATTCATTTTCTTTCACGCGGCCGTGCCTTTGAGTTCAGAAAAGGCCCAGGTGAGTAAGAATCAGTCAACACGGTGAGTATGAATCAGTCAACAAACATGGTGTGTAATGTCTTGTACTGTTATTGTCACCTGTGTCACATGTTTAGTATAGCTAGGGCTGCACGATTAATCAAATTTTAATTACAATCACGATTTTGGCTTCCCACTATCAAATTCGCGTGATCGAGCGATAAGTTGAATTGTCATTCATCACTCAATTAATTACTTAATTGTCTCATTAACTTCAACACTGCTTCAGTGTTACTTATAACATTATGAATGTGGATCAAACACTGAGCAGTGTTAATTTAAAACTGGGAAATTTGTTGTGCCAGTGGGGGCAATAATAATAATAATAATAATAATAATAATAATAATGAAAAGCAAATTGGAATGCAGAAACCATATTTTCTATACGATCTCCTTAATACTTTCAGTGTAGTCTACCCTGTTATAATTTAACTCCGTTCCAAACCTGGAAATGTGAAAAGGCTCCATGGCAATTCATTGAAAACACACAATCAACTTAGCTTAGCCTACTCCAAATTAATGGACACCTAATAAAGTCCACGCCGACCTCCAAGACGAGTGTTTTAAAACCACATGCTGTTCTTTTCCGGAGTTTCTTATGAGGAAGTTTTCAACCTAAAACGAAACTAAAAGAAATGCATCAATCGCCTATAGGCCTAGGCTAGGCCTACTCGATAATAGAAAATTATAGCCCCTGCAATATGAAAGTCCATGAAAGTTTAAATGCTATGAGTATTATATAGGCTAATTGTGTAAAAATCCAGAGGCCTTTCATCTAAACAAAGGTTTGGACTTATTAGAACTAAATAAGAAATAACCGCGAAATATTTCCTTAAAATAAAACCGTAAAACAGAGGAACTAATTTAACGCGTTGGCAGCATTTTTTATATCGTAGGCAACGCTAAATGTAGCAAATATATCTGCAAATAAACTCTGTAAACTATAGTTAGCGTGATGACGCACTTAGAGAAACTTACCAGCTGCACTGTTTAGCCTACAGCTATCCAGTATCCTACATCATAAAAGTAGTACACGTTTTGCAATAAGTAATCGGAGTTATTGAAACTTACCTCACAATAAACGATATTCGAGATTCTTTCGAGATGTTTTTGTTTATTTCGTATCTGAGATCGAGGCGAGCTTGGAACTGTCGGCAGAGTAACTTCCTCCTTGGCTTCTTCTTCTTCTTCTTCTTCTTTTCGTTTCATGGCCGTTCACTCCTTTGGATTATTACCGCCACCTACTGTATAACTTACGCACATGATTAATGGATCTGATTAGGAAGGAGAAAAAAAAACAAAAAAAAAAACCCATCCCATAGTATCAGAGCTCGTGTATCAGCTGACGCTGCGTGTTCAACTCCTCCAGCTTCTACACTGAGCTCCTCAAACCTCCAGGATGATCAGAAACTTGTTCTCCTCCTCAGGCTAGATCCTGTGATCTAGACCTGTAAGTTCTAAAAAAGTTATCACTTCCTTAAACCTTTCTCTATCACTCAAACCCTTTCCCAATAGGTCCATAATGCTCACTGGCCAGTTCTTTATATTTCTAAAAAGAGCCCTACACTGATCTTCATATTTACTACACTTAAAGGTGCCATCTGGGAAAAAAAATCAATTCATACACCATATTCCATACCAGATGGAGGCAGTATACCTCCAGAAAAATACCTCCACGGCCGCGCGCACTCATGTCTTCAAACAACACGGGCGAGTGGGTCTCCCTCACGCATATTAATCAGTAAAACTAATAGTAAAAGGTTGGAAGACCGCAGTTTCACGTGGATCATTTGGAGATTTTCAGAGATTAGAGACTAAATGAACAACATCTCAATACTAAATTATAAAGGCCGTCTCATAGACAAGCCGGTGCATTTCGACGATATGGGAAAATTAAAGCCCAGGCATTTTTAGTTTATGGTATTCGTTTTGTTCATGTTACATTTTTTATCATTAGTTTGAATTAATTTGACAGACAGCATTCCCTGATGTGGACCAAACTAGCGTCTTTCAGAGCTGCCAACTCTCACGCATTCACTGTGAGACACACAACTTTTCACACACTCACGCCACATCCATTTTGTCATGCACAGAAAAGGACACAGAGACCGATCTCAGCTCTCAGATTCTGTTCATTTTATTACACAATTCAAACAATAAATGCAGTTTTGGCGCTTGTACAGTACATGTTAGACGACAGATCCCTAGCGCACGTGAACCGATCATCTCTACTAGCTAATGGTAAACGAACACGAACACTGTTGAAAGATACAGTATGTTACAGTATTCCTCATGCATAATATCGACCAATCATTTATTTAACTCATCCCTGAACTGAAATTTAGTAGCGGGCTGTATTTCCACGCGACATCACGACATGACATGCAGGTTCAAGTACACACAAGCTGGCGCGACTTGCTCGTGTTACTGCAGTTTGGCTGGTGGTAATGTTGCCCGCCCGCATACCGCCTCCCATGGCCGAAACTGGTATTACGACACCTGCCGGGCCGGGGCTAGTAATTTAGCATGCTAATTCAGGTTAATATCTCGGCAGCACTATAACTTGTCAGTTTTTTAATGATATCATTGCACTTATTTCTTCTCATTCTTTTGATGTGTGTAGCTCATTTTTTGGATATTTTTACCTCAATTATTCCATATGGCACCTTTAAAAAACACATGTTCTACTGTTTTCCTCCTTGGCTTTCAAACTCCGTGTGTGCTGAAAGGCGGAGCTCTAGTTAAAATGAAAACCTACGCAAGAGCGTGATGCCATTTACATTAGGCCTACTTTTAGGAAGTTCGTTTAACCAACGTTTTTTAGCTTGAACACAAGAACTTAAAAAAACACAAGAACTTAATGAGGCAAAATAATTATGGCAATTTAATGTAAAAAAATATATATACAGTATGTGCAAATGTTTTATTAATATCATAATCATAATCATTTTAAAGGGGTGTAATGCCCTTTTCACAAGATGTAAAATAAGTCTTTGATGTTGAGTGTGTAGCTCAAAATACCCCACAAAAAGTTGTCAGTTTTTGAGGGTGAGCAAAAACGCACTGTTTTTGTGTCTGCATTACACTATACACTAACTAAAGTTAGAAAAGTGAAATCTTAATCAACCACCCCAAACGATACGGACCATGTTCAAAAGGTTTAAACAGACATATGCAATGTTTATTTCACAAAGTCAGTGATTAGAGATGGAGGCTTTGTAACTTAGTGAAGATCTCTCTCATTTGTCTCTCATTAATATGAGTGAGTTGTGCCTCCAGTCTGGCCTCTCTGAGCTTTGCTTCATAAAAACGTTTGTTCTCAATCATTTCAAACATGTTCATCTGATTCAGTCGTTCCAGCTCTTTGATCTTCTCATCTTTTTCTTGTTCAGATGCTGCTAGTGCCTCTATTCTCTCCTGTAGTTTCCTCTTTTCTTCAGCAAATCTGGACTCCAGTTCTCTCTCTTTCTCCTGTAGTTTCTTCTCGTACAGCTTCTTCAGTTCTTCTTCTTTATTTTTCAGCATGATCTCCACGCCCTGGTAAGAGTCATTGGTGTAAAATCCTCCTCCATTAGCAGAGACCATGTCGTCTATCTTCTTCAGCAGCTCCACAACTTGTTTGCGATCCTCCATCTCTTTATTGTTGAACACGTGATATCTTCCTCCACAGCGACTCAGGACTTCTTTCAGGTTTTCATCGGCTTCACTGAGGTAATCTTTAATGGTGGCGGTCAGTTGATCCCCGTGTGTGAAGAGGATGAGTGTGTGTTTATCTGCTTCTTCTCCAAATATGGCTCTGATCTTCTCCACTGAGAGTCTCTCTTCTTCAGTGAACGGGCCGAGTTTAATGACCAGGATGATGGCGTGAAGTCCAGGTGCCGTCATGTTTATACACTTACTGATCTCCTGCTTAAGATATTCCTCGGAAACACCTGTGTCAAACAGTCCGGGTGTATCTACCAGAGTAATTTCTTTTCCAGCCACTTCTCCAGTCTCTTTCCAGCACTCTTTGGTCACGGACGAACCGCTTTTTGCTGCTCTGAAGGTTTTTCTGCCCAGGATTGTGTTTGCAGAAGAGCTTTTCCCTGCTCCGGTCTTCCCCACCAACACCATCCTTCTCAAAGACACTAAAGAAAAAAAGTGAGAGAGTTAAAAGTTCACTCAATCTAAACTGGATCAAGGTCATAACGTTTAAAAAGGGGTAAAAAAGTTAGCTAATGGTTTTATAAACATATTCAATGCTCTGTGTATACTCACTGTTTGGATGATCAAAATCAAAACTTCCCCTTCTGCCTATAAAAAAAACCAATATCATTAAAATCAATTAAATTATTATTTTTATTATTTTGCAAATTATTTTGCAAAAGAAATATCAAGTTTCCTTATTGAAGAAAAAAGTACACTAATTTTAGTTTTTTTCATTCATCCAATAAAAATAAAAATAAAAATAAAAAATAGGGTAATGGTTCATGAGCCATTTTATAACTCACCCCAAACAATGTTTTCTTTGTCTATGAGAATTATTTCATGAGAATGTTTGGTCGCCTTTATTCTGATCAGTGTTACTGTTTCCTTTACTTGTGCAGTTTGATTCTTGGCTTTTATGAGTTTGTGCATAGATATATTCACTATGTTTTATGTTTTGACACTCATTTGGCAAATTTGTTGAAGGACAGCTTTTGCCTGGATGTGGAATAGTGTGTTTTGTCACTTATAATAAAAGAATAATAATAAAAAAGAGAAAACGGGCCTTTTTAATCGGATTAATTGCTTAATTGAAGAAATAAGCTGCCAAAATCAATTATCTAAATTAGTTAGTTGCAGCTCTAATTGTGACCAAACATTTTCAATAAAACATAAACATCTAAACCTCTGGCAATTCTCAAAAATAACTTCTGTTGAGATCTTGAGAGATTTACAGTCTTCTTTTATTTCAGGTTCATTTCAGGTTGTTGCGTTTTACTTACTCAGAGTGCAAGCATGATGTTGAACCATAACATTGTACCATTGATTCTATGCCATTGCAATTGATTTATGATGTTGATTCAATGCAGTTAACGTTAACTTATAAACACTTGATTTGTTTCGATGGTGGGTTGCTATCTGGGCTGTTTTCTAGGGTCAATGTTTGCCAGAAGTTAAATATCTGACACTTGAGTGCTGAAATTGCTGATGTGTGGATTGGAAGTAATGTATAATTATATTTATAATAAATATCGATGTAGTGAATTATCGATGTCTTTTTTTATGATTTATTATTCTTGTAAGATTAAATATAAAGTAATGTTTCTTAACAGGAAACATGTTTTATTAAATCCATTTAAAAAAATCAAATTCCCATTAACTTGTATTTTTTTTTTAAATGAGAAACAATTGTTTAATGAAATTTATATCTATTAGATTGGAGAACACAAATCATTTCTAAATAATTTCGAATTTTTGTTTTATTTAAATCTAAATTTGTTTAGATCATAAATAGAATTTAAATGAATCGACTTTCTTAAACATATAAAAACATACATTGTGCCAGGTTTTATCAAATAATTTTCATAGACATGGAAAATATTGTTATTTATTTTTCATTGGCTAAAGTTATATAGATGTGATTTTTTTTCTATTGCATTATATATCAAATAATGTTAAATAAAATATAGCAATAATGTACAGATTTACAAGACTAGCTATATGATTACAATATTCTTCATTTTCTTTAGTCTTTTTACACTAGGCTTCTTAACAGTTTTAAGAATGAAACGGATAGGCCTGGTCAGCGCATTGCGTTCATACGAATGAAGGGAATCTCGTCGCTGTAATTTCAAACATACTTATTTTATTTGTTTGATGTTTTACAATATCTTTGCAGGGATCCGCTATACGTTAAATTACGATGACATAAACTGACAAAATGAAATGGAATCAGCGATAAAGAATAGCTCAAATCGTAGCATACAAACCGAAAGTAAAACACGAAAGTGTATTTTACTCTGGATAAAATACACAACCATCTGGCCTAATGTACACAATTAAGGCAGAAAGTCACCTCTGGTCTTGGTTGTGGGGCTTGAGGACGACATGATTCAGATTTAGTGCCGATCACCGCGTCCTCGCCATATACAGTAAAAGAAATAAACACAGCAGCGGCCCACTGACTTCCTGCCAAGCGTTCTGCGCAGGCACAAACTGAGCTTGATGACGTAAATGTCACGTGAGCAATCTGACTGACAGTTGTAAATATTCGCTGTGCCGAAACAAATCTGAATCACCGAACGTTAATCGTGCACAGAGATAAGTATTCTGATTATTTTGTCATTTTGCTTAATATTTATTTATTTAAAATTTAATGTCAGTATGCCAAATTAAGTTAATGCATGATATTAAGAAGTTATGTAAAATGATATTCAAGAACTTATGAATTCATACCCAATAGGTATGTGTGAGAAACTAGGCAAAGGCTAATGATTGCTAACTAAATGATAGTTAAGATTAGTAATTTAACTTAAACAGCTATTAATGTAGGCTAAGTTAAATGAGTCATATTTATTTAACCGCCTAGTATGGTCGCATACATGCATAACTCAGACATTTACAATTTTTTGCCTTGGGTGTCCACACCACCTCCTGGTAGCGTAGAGGGTTGCACTCCAGTATCCTTTTATGGGTTACACTCTCTCTCTCTCTCCTCTCCAATCCTATGCATGTCCCTGTGCATGGTAATGTTCAAACAGAAATGGGTTTCAAATGGGGAAAAAATTAGTTCTGTGTTATTGCCATGAATATATATATATATATATATACACACACACTGAAAAAAGGTTTTCAAGCAGTACCTCATTAAATTAATATTTTTTCATTCAATTCAGTTTACTATTATTTGTTTTATTTTTCAAGTTATATTTTTTTGGTTCAAAACATTGCTAAATATAAATATTTTTCATTTATCTTAAATGAGAAAAAATTGTTTCAATGAATTTACAATTTCAAAGTTACACATTGAAAAAAAAGTTCATTAATAATCAACTAAAGATGTTGTGAATTTGCCAGGAAGAGGACGTGTGTCTATTTTGCCTTAATGGACGGTGAGGATGAAAGTGTCCAAAGACTCTTCAAGGATCACAGATGGAGAATTGCAGAGATTAGTTGAGTCTTGGGGTCAGAAAACCTAAAAAAAAAAAATATCAGACAACCCCTACATCCCCACATGTTGTTTGAGAGGGTTTCAAGAAAAATGCTCCTCGTTCATCCAAAAACAAACTCCAGCATATTCAGGTGTCAAACACGACTGGATCTTCAAACGGCACAGGGTTCTTTGGTCAGATGAGACTAAAATAGGGGCTTTTTGGCAGCAAACCCAGCAGATGTGTTTGGTGCAAACAGGGATGAAGAGTACCCCATGCCTACGGTTAAATATACTGCTGGATCTTGTATGTTGTGGGCCTATTTATTTGCTGGAGGTCCTGGACATCTTGTTCAGATACATGGCATTATGGATTCTATCAAATACAAAAAGATAAAAAATAAAAACCTGACGCCTTCTGCTAGAAATCTTATAATGGGCCGTGGTTGGATCTTCCATCAGGACAACGATCCAAAACAAAAATTAAAATCAACACAAAAATTAGTTACGGAGCACAAAATGAAGCTTCTGACATGACCGTCCCAGACCCTGACCTGATGAGTGGAGTGAACTGAAGAGATGAAGCACCAACATGGATCTGGGAATCTGCGGGATCTGGAGAGAGCCTGTATGGAGGAATGGTCTCTGATCGATATTCTGATAGGAGAAGACTCAGATCTGTTATCTTGGCAAAAGGAGGTTGCAAAAAGTTTTTAGTAACAAGGTGCCAATAATTATGGCCAGAGTGTTTTGGAGAAAAACATTTGAAGAGTTCAGATGCAAAAGCCTCTAAATGCCATTTGAAATTTTCTTCTCTAATGATGATTTTTATCAAGCTTGTATATTTAAGTTCAGTAATTTCACTTAAATAACAATTAATAGGTAATTATCATTGCCATTTAAGTGAAATCACTGAACTTAAATATACAAACTTGATAAAAATGATCATTCTAGAAGAAAATTTCAAATGGCACTTAGAGGCTTTTGCATCTGAACTCTTCATTTATTTCATAGTGTGATTTACCCCCACTTTCAATTCTTTAGCTTCAATGAAAGGTTCGAATTTTGCCATTTTTTTGAATGGAAGATCAAAATGATAAACAATGCAGAATTATTTTTTACAGCCAGTTTTCATCATATTTACCAGGGGTGCCATTAATTCTGAGCACGACTGTATATATTTGGCATAAGAAAAACTTAATAGATGGTCCACTAGTGGTGGAATGGACGCTATGTGAGTGTGCACTTAATAAAAGAGCTGAAAGTACTTTGAATCAAAGTTGCATTCATAACATATATACACAACATTCTATAACAAACTGAAAGTTGAGATTTATATTTTTATTTAGTTCTGATTCCCTCAAAAGACAGCATTCATTATAATAATTCTGATTTGCCAAAAAGGCCTACAATCAACTTCATGCATTTATCAAAGTTACAGTATATATCACCCAGTGTCCCTTGTGAAAATAGATCATCCTTTTAAAGGCAGTAACTGATTATTTATGCGTTTGACATTCACTTAAATTCAAGGAATACATTTGATCATTTCAAGTTGGTGTTGCTCTCATAATCACATTATAAGAAACAGAAGACTATATTTTATTGGACTATATTTAAACTGGTAAAGCCTTAAACCCCTTTCAGTAATTTGTTTACACAAGCACAGTTATTAATACCAACATTGAACACAAAGTAAAATTGCTTCAAACAAATTGACGAGTAGCTGCAGAAGCAAATTATAATAATAAATGAAACGTACAAGTTAAACATGTTTTTAAATTCGTGAAGTTTCTGATTCCTGACTTGTTTCAGAGTGCAGACAGTTCATCATAGACATGACAACACTGACCTCCAGTGAACATGTATTTAGACATTTAGAAAAAGCTTTTCATTCAGTGAATGGAGATGTAGACCGATGAGATGGTTACTGAACCACACAGTTTCCATGTTTTGTATTCCAGTTGGTAATGTTATCAGCGTGTCTTTTTTTCATTTTCTTGAGTTCTGCTGCATGAATTTCTTCAATCTCTTTGTATCTTCTCTTGATCTCCTCCATCTTCTGCTTGCATTCTTCAATTTCCTTGTACTGTTCATGCAGGAGTTTATTTTTATTAATTTCTCTCTCATCTCTAGGATTTTTAGGCAAATATTGTTTTTCGTTCTCATTCTTTGGGTCAGTCTGATCTCCGGTTTTATTTTTTTCTTCCCTGGACATGCCAGTGTTTTTTTTGATATTCTGATCTGTGTCTGCATGTTTTTTTTCTTTGCTGTTCTCCTCACTGATTTTTGTTTTATTTTCTTCACTCTCTTCCATCCTCTTTTGAGACTTTTCCTTTTGCCTTCCTCCTTTTTTAAGAAATAATCCAAACTTATTCACTTTTTTTGTGGATTTCTTTTCATTTCGATTAAATTCTCCTCCAGCTGCTTCTTGTGCTGGATCTGTTTTTCCTGAAAGCTCTTTCTCTCCATTGTTAATTTTCTCAAGAGGAACTGTAGATCCAAGTGGATCTTGTGCTTGTTCAATGTCCGCTGTGGCTCCGCTGTCTCTCTTCCTTCCTGTTTGATAATTCCTCAATGGTTTGCTCTCTCTCTCCATGAGCAGAAGATCTCTAACCTTTCCTTTTATTTTTTCCTTCTCTAGTTTGTCTTGCATTTTTTGAATTTCATACTCATATTTGGCTTTAATGGCCTCCATCTGTCGTCTGACCTCCTCCTCTCTCTCTCTATTGATCTGCATGAGTCTGAATGCTCTCTCGGCCTCCTGAAACATTTTGTCGTTGTAGAAACTGGCATCGTTATACCACATCATCTTATCGATCTTCTTTAACAGACTCACGACCTGAGCAGGATCCTTCTGTTTATTATTGAACACATGAAATCTTCCTCCACAGTCGTGGATCAGTTGTTGGACGTGTGGATCTCCATTTTTAACGTAGTCTTCAATACTTTCATCTAGATTGTCTCCTCGAGTGAACAACACCATAGTGTAGGTCTCCGCTTTCTGCCCGAAGGTCATCTTGATGAGCTGAAGTGTGTCTCTCTCTTCTTGTGTGATGGGGCCGACAGCGATGACCAGCAGAAACACGTGAGGTCCAGGAGCCGATAGTTCAATGCATCTCATGATCTCCTGTTGAATGTCTTCATTGCTGAGGCTTGTGTCGAAGAGTCCTGGTGTGTCCACAACACTCACGGGTCGACCGCAAGCGTATCCTCTCTCTCTTTGGCAGATCCTGGTCACAGACTTCATGCTGGCCTTTGATTGAAACATGTCTCGTCCCAGGATGGTGTTTCCAGTTGCACTTTTTCCCACTCCAGTTTTTCCAATCAGAACGATTCTCACACACTCCAGGCTTCTCTCTTTGCCGGCTGTAGCTGTGAATCACAGAAACCATTTCTTGTTCACTAAAAATGTTGACTCTGAATCATGAAAAACTGCTTATTTTTATTTAACGGTATTCAAAATCTTGAAAGAAATATTACATCCAGTCTGAAAAGTGTTTTCCGTGTTGGTTTTCCTATAGGCTAAAGTCTATTCCGGCGCATTATATTTTATAACGATAAAGTAAGATAAGTAATTCAGATAAAAGTAAAAAGCTACTATTTTGTGTTTATCCATGGCAGTTCGACTTCACACACACACGCGCGCGCTCTGAGCCAGTGGACGCGCACTGTTATGAATGCACAATGTTTCGACTTTAATCTCGAAACATTTCGACTTTAATCTCGAAACATTTCGACTTTAATCTCGAAATGCTAGATTTTTTTTTTTTTTACAGATTTTTTTTTTTTTTACAGATTTTTTTTTTTTTTTTTACTGACTTTTTTTTTTTTTTTTTAGGTTGCGGTTTAGGGCTTCCGTAGAACCTATATGTACACCAAAAGTGTTAATTTAACACTGAGGATTTTGCTGTGTACAAAGTGTCTGCTTTTGTATTTGGGGAAAAAAAAGTAATTCATTTCGGTTTAGAACAGCACCCCGGTGAGTAAACAAGGTTTAAGTCATCCATGCTGACAGATGGCAGTGTAAAGTGCAAAAGCACTGGGGAAGAAGAATAATGTAATACTCACAGTTTGATCGCTGCAACTGTCTTGGTTTTGAGTCATGTCTCATTGTCGTGGCCTCTTTATAGATTAAAATGAAGAAGAAAAAAGGATAAAATTTACATCGATTCACTGAACAGGCAGTTTTACTCAAAGCAAAATACAAATAAGAGATACAAAATCATAACTGATTTGATCCTAAGAATACTTAAAAAGACTTGAAATACTAAGTCCAAAAATTGGTTTAAAATAAGTTTGAGCTACTACAGACATTAAAATGTGACAGAGGAAGCAAAACTATAAAAATAATAAATAAAATAAGTATTAGAAAAGATGTAGTAAGTGTGTTGATGTTTGTCCATCAAGTACTCACGGTCAAGCTTTGTGTTCCGATTTATTTTGAAGTCTGTTAAGGTAGAGATTAAAATATCTTTTTACAATTAAAGAACAATGAAGGTAAAAGTTATGAATTGTAGGCTAATAAAAAAGATTGTTGGGTGTTTAGAAATATGCAGGTTATAATGCTTGATGCAGTAGGCTAATCAAAGCATTTGACATTGAATAAGATGAGTGTTTAACCCTTATGCTGCATTAGGGACATTTTTGGTCTTTTGCAGTTTAATTTCTTTGACCATTTTGGCTGTTTTAATGCAAATGGTATGAAATTTGGCAAAATTGTGACTTTTTGGATACATGTAAAAAATGTGATCCCATTTTGCAAAATATGTATAACACACACTGTGTAGATCAAATAGTAACACTCAGCACCATAAAGACCAAAAATGGCCCATTGAAACCCATTAAAACGTTGTTTAAATCTGAGGCTGTCAGTAATAAATGAAACATGATTTTTGCACAAACATCCTTTCATTTTGAAGCAAAAGCATTATATTTGCATTATATAGTGATGACGTCACTACATATTTATTCCCTATGGGTGGAAATGCACCTTATTTTAGGCAATAGGCAATGTTTAATAGGTGGCCATTTTTGGTCTCTAACGCGCTAAGTGGGATTTTTTGCAAAGTGGGACTGTGATAATCCAAATCTAAAGTTTTCTCTTTGCATTTAGTTTATTGAAAATAATTGAATTTTTGTGTTTTTTCCTCTTATACAAATCGATGGTTTCGCAAACAAAACTGGTAATTAAAGGGTTAAAATCCTGAAATTGAATACATTTTTGGTAGTTATGATGAGGACTGATGCTGGTTAAAAGATTTAACTTGGTAAAAGTGGAAAATAATAATAATATATAATATTTTAGGCAATGTTTAATATGTGGCCATTTTTGGTCCTTAATGCACTCAACGGTGTTAAAAATCTAATGCAGCACAAGGGTTAAGGCCACAACATGATGATTCCATCCTCATCAACAAGCATCACCTGATCTCATTTTTTCTTGGCTTTTTTGCTACAACTAATGTGCTATATAAAAACATAGTTGCAGCAGCCAGAGAAAATCTTACATGAGTTAAGGGTCAAGGGTCTAACTAAAGCAAACACTGACTAAAGCAATGGTGACTCAAAATACAACTGTTGATTTCATTAAAACTAAAATTAATAAAGTAAATCTGGTTAGTAATAAGTGAAGCTGGTAATGCTGTTTGTGGAGTTGTTTAATCCTCCTCTGCAGAGATCTTGAGAGATTGAATGTCTTATGTTATCTTTATTGGTTTATTTAGTTGATTTCATCTAAGACTGTGGCTAAAGTCAGTCGAAGTTCTTGCGCTTCTCTTTCCTTCTGGGATTCTGCTTGTTAACAGCAGGTGTTCATAATTAATGCTCAATCACCACCTAATTATCTTATTTCCTTCAACACTGCTTCAATGGTACTATAACTGTAGTGTGCACACATATGAACACTGAGCAGTGTTAATTTACATGGGCGTTTTTCTGTGTAAATACAACTATATAAATCTTATCTGTTTCATTTATATATGACTGAACAATATGAATCACATTCAGATTTTTAATTGGTTTATGTTAAAACTATGTAATCCAAATGGATGGAAATTTGATATGCAATCCAAATACATGAATCTTATGTTTAGACATTTTTTTTTTTTTTTTTGAGTGTGGCATTTAAAGCTAACATCAAACCTAACTGCAAAATTAAATGCCTATTTTATTTACCCCACACAACAATTTTAATCTGATTCTACTGTTAGAAGCTGTTTCGGTATTAATGTCAGATAGTGTTTCTAACCACCGTTGTACTGACAATCCAGCATTGTATGAATTACCCAGTAGGATCTCAGTTGTCAATCAGAATAAAATTGCTGAAATTATTACTTTCATACTCACTTGATACTGGGTTCATGCTACATGACCGTCTACGAAAACTGGAATTTGCACCTTCAGAGGAGAAAAAAAAAAGTTTTTCTACAAACACATAAGCCACTTGTTGTATTGTACTAAACCATTTTAGTTGTATGTCTAATTCAGTCAGGACCACTTTGCCAAGTATAAACATTTATTGCAATTATTGCATACATTTAGTGTTGCGGTATGGTTCTGTTCTGGGCAAAAACTCCTATGCCTGTCCATGCAGCGATGCTATGAATGAAATGCTGAAGAAATGCCGCTGTGATTGATGTCGACACTGATTGGAACACCTTATGAACAGCTGATGCAAACTTGGCTGACGTGGCCTGCTTGAACTAACACAATGCTTGATAATGCTCTGCATTTACAAAGTTTACCCAGTGGTGATATGTCTATTGGTTGGTAAAGTGAATTTCTTTTCTCAGCAAGCTTTAATTCTTCAGGGGTACTCAGGTGAGGGTTTCCATTCTCCTCCAATATCATCCTAATCCTCTCACAACGTTTCTTTTCTCCTTTCTTCTGAAAGTGTTTGCAGGACTGTAATAGAGACTCATCTGATCTGATCTCAGTTTCAGAGTCTTTAATTTTCATGTACTCCTTCTGCATTATTCTCGTCTCTTGCTTGGTCACAGACACTGGAATTACACAAAATATGTTTTAGTTACTCATAGGTTTTTTTATCTACACTTTAAAACCTAACAGCAGAGATGGGAGCAAGTCACACGTTCAAGTCACAAGTAAAAAGTCATGAGTTCATGGGTGGAATAAAAATATGGCAGGACTTTTACTTTCTGACCCCTGGACTAGGGCTGCACGATTAATCGCACGATATTGTTATGAGCATCTAATCAGTAAAGCCGGTTCCTTGATTAGTAGTAAATCACCTTCACCTGCTTTCAGATGGACGATATGATGCAGATATGAATGTTAACCTGTTAACTGTCACCCCCCCCTTTTTTGAATAGACATGAAAATGCACATTTCGAACTTAAATGGTTGTAATTCAAGAATGATGTGGAATATAGACATATGATTGGTCTTGTTTTAAAGAAGACATTTGGCAGATTTTTGTAGAAGTGAAATAAATTAAGAAAGTGAAACAGAAAAGTTATAGAGGTTTGAGTTTATGGAAATGTACAATGCAAAAATATTAATTATTCATATTTTACATAAAATATATATTTTCAAAACCTGGGCTACTCTAAAATGGCAGAAAGATCAAAGCCAAAAATCTGAACAAGGTGTGTTTCAAATTTTAGGTTGATATCTCAAAAAATGAGCTTTCAGTAAGATTTTGTTTGAGCGCAGTACCAAACTTTTTCACTAGGGCACAACCAGACTTCATTACTGCCCATATAAGGGCGTCTGCATTTCCATTCGTGTTTTGAGTGATATGAACCATTATTTCCACAATTTTCATACAATTTCTGAAGTAGAGATCCTATTCAGAAGTAGTATGGGAAGTTTGGCAGATTTTGATATGAATTGAACCTCTAAGAAACACATACAAAGAACACGCATGTAAGTCATAGCTAGCTGCCACGTCACAAATGGTGAATTTATTATTTTTTTCTTGATATTTCAAACTTTTCAGACCTTTTTTTTCCAAAATAATTGAATGGATTCTATCTTTTGAACTTTTGGCATGAAAACAAACTGAGGTATCTACCATTTTTTCATGATTTTTCATGTTTACTGCTATTTTAAAATAAAGGTCTGAACACGCCTTATGAGTATGAAAATATTCTTGTTTTACATTGATAAATTATGGCTCCCATAATCACGGCCGCATTAACCATAGGGCTAGGCGGGGCTTAAGCCCCGGGGCCCAAGCAAGGAGGGGGCCCGTGATTGGCTGTGGAGCAGATACTGCAAGCCATCTGATTACCAAAGCCTTCCCACGCAACGTCCCCCACAAATTATCCCTGTTATTTAGTTGCACTTTGCCTTATCATGGAATCATTATCATTAATAGAGACGTTCGCAAAGACCCGCCTTTTTTAGGTACTATGTGACGGACGGGCCACGAGCCAGGCGGCTCTCGCGAGTCACGCACATCATGTTCTCATGCACTCACGCAGTGAAAAATACTTCGCGGGGCAAAGACTAACGTTACACCGAGTGATTACGAGAGAGAGTTCAGGGCAGCTTACTGTTGATATGAAACAAAGTCTCAACTTTCAAATATTGTCATTTAAGTAATTTAAACATTACCGTTTTCAAGTTCATGTCCACCGACTGACAGCTTTGTTGTCGGACAAAGTTGCGTATTATTCGGCGTTATGATTGGCCAGGCCACCTGTCAATCAAACCCCCTAGGCATGCAGGGCCAACGGCTCTGAGCAGGGCATGGTAAATTGAAACGTCAGGTTTTAATTTGATATGACAAATATATTTATTCTATATTTAACTTGTGAACGACCGACCTGCTGCTGCACGTAGGCCTATAGATGATTGCTGCCTGCGCCTTATTAGAATAGGTTATATATCAACCAATAAATCGCCTTTACTCTTCTCTTCATTCTAGTCTATTCTTAAAACACAGCGTCATCATCGACCCCACAAACTTTCGGTAAGTTTGAATATTAACTTGATGGATGTATAATTTTGCTTTTTGTGTTTGATTAAACTCTATATTCGCCTAAAGGACTGGCGATAATATATCCGGTAGAAATATTTAAATTTTGCTGCGCCATGCATCATGATGTAAGTTTATCATTTAAACGCGTTTTTAAACGTTGTGGTTTGGATACAAAATATTTCAAACTGCTCAGGCACAGTGAGCAGCGGGAGAATTTATTTTGTAAATGCTGGTTTTAAGACCAAGGTGAACCATAGACTGTGGTGAACTTGAGACGGTTTTGCACAGCGCACTTGAATCCGACTCTGAGGTCTCAAAGTGACAGACGCCGCTAATAAAGCTGCTGTCGCCATGTGTGTCAATAATGTTAATCAAACATCAGAAAGAAAGTAATTTACTGCATTTGACTGAATTACTTTTGCAAAATTAACAAGAATGAATGTTGAATTTATAGTGAAAACCATGTATTGTATATTTGATTACTTTATATAATATTATTCAGTGCTTTAAGTTTTTCATAGGTCGATTTATTGTGCCTTTGTTCTATTTTAATTTGTGACTCTTGTCATCAGTAAGCTTGAGATTATTTTCTTAAGCTACTATTATTTTTTGGTGATATTGAAATTGGTCACAATAATTATGAAATTTTAGTCAATACATTTTGATATGATAAAAAAATCATGTTAAAAGTAACATAACTTAACTGTGAAGTATATCATGGATAAAATGACTCGTAGGCTATAATAATATAACATTTAGCTCATGTAGTTGGTGACCTAAAGTGATGGTGGGGGGGGGGGGGGGCCTGCAGTAACTCATAGCCCCGGGGCCCAGTGAGCTCTTAATACGGCCCTGCCCATAATGTGTGGTGTGGTTGCCCAGCAAAGCAATCGCAGCGACCGTCTCCTCTCTATGCGCTGCAGGACTGAGAGATTCAGGAGGACATTTCTTCCGGCCGCCATAAGGCTATACAATGGAACTGCTTGAAGTGCAGTATCGATCTACTACTAATGATTGTAGAAGTTTGTTGTGGGACTTTTTTTATCGACTCTTTTATTAACTTTTATTAATTGTTATTATTGGTGCTCTCTTTTATGTGTGTATAGTAGTGAGAATGTTTGCTGGTAATCAACACACTAATGCTGATGGACATTGAATTTCCCCTTGGGGGGATTAATAAAGGCATCTACTCTACTCTAATCCGATTTTCTGACTATATCCTATTTTTTTTTTTGACGACCTGCTTACATCATCTTTTAAAAGTGACCCATATCCGATTTTTGCATTTACACTATACACTACTGAAACTACCAAATGCAGAAGTTCTGACCCGGGAAATTAAGCAAAACAGCATGAAATTCAATGGATGCAGATGCGAATAAAATTATTCAGTGTTTTCTTTGTCTGCTTACATGGCAAACACAAATGCACGTATCTGATTCATATCCGATTTAATACCACATATGAATGAGGCCTGAATCTGATCTGAGAAAATCGGAATCCATGCGTTTTTTTCTTGCTTACACGTTTACTGGTCATATCCGATCTGTGCCACATGAGAGGAAAAAATCGGATTTGGGTCACTTGAACCATGCAGTGTAAACGAGGCCAAAATGGCGACATTTTTATAACAGAAAATGACCGCATAGGGTGCAATCGAAACGAATTTTATTTCTACCTATTATGGTTAAAAAGTTATTATCATAAATATGAGTGAAACTTTGGACAGGTGGTGGTGCTAGAGCGATTAAGTTGGACACTTCAAATCTGGTCTAGTGACTTTTTAGACTGTCCTCTATCAGTGTGCTAAATTTCATAACTTTCCCACAATCGGTTCTATGGGCTGCCATAGACTTCCAGAGTGGAAGGAGAAATAATAATAATAATAAAAATGCCAACAGATACAATAGTTGCTTCAGCACATTTGGTGTTTTTTTCCCAAATAAGAATGGCAATAGATACATAGTTGCCTACGCACCTTCAGTGCTTGGCCCCTAATAATAATAATAAGAAGAACAGGAACAGAAACAGAAACAATAGGTGCCTCCGCACCTTCGGTGGTTGGCCCCTAATAATGACACTTAAATCTGCTCAAGTATTAAGCACATTACATTATTAATTGTAAATTACATATTCGGTTTGTGAAGTAACTTATACAAAGAACGGATACTGTATCGACAGACTCACCAAAATGTCTGGATGATCTGCAGTCATCCATCTTCACCCAATTCACGCAGTCACTTTCCTCTGTTAAGCACTTTACACAGTAAGAAACTGTTGCAGCAGTCTTCGTATTGATGTAGGTGTGTGTTAAATAAGAGTTGATTCCTCATTACAGTAAAAATTCAGAAACTGATTGGACTTGTTACTTGGTGTACATTCCCTGCAACTTCCTGCATTATGATCATACCAGTGCCATGTTATCTGTCAGAGGACTACCTGCCACAAAAATACTATTTAAAAGATAAAACTAGCCACACTTAAAAAATAACCATAATACTTGTGATAAATGCAATAAAAACTTGTAATAAATGTGTCACCAAAACTGATTAGATCAAGGATTCCTTTAACTTTAAGCATTGCAATCCAATTGTGTAACATGTATATATTTCACTGAAGGATGAGCAGCTTCAAATCAAAAGAGAAAGTCTCAAATACACGTAGCCTACGGAGCACACCTTAGATCCTATCTATCTCTAAGTATCTATCTCTTCTTGAAAGACATGAATTCATTATGTCAGCAACACAAAACAAACATGTCATTCATATTCAAATCATTAATTTGAAGTAATTGAAACATTGCACATTCAATTTAAACATAAGTACTTCTAAAATCTATACTGTACATATTTATATACAATAATGCTGATTTGCATTTCATGTCTCCTTTAATACTTTACATTATTCTTTGTGTTAAATCAACACTGACAAGTGTGAATTATATAAACTCTGAGCAGAGTGTTAAATTAATACTAAAGAGATTAAAGTCAATTAAAGTTAATGAGATAACTAAGTGAATAATTTAGTGATGATTGATCATTATTGAAGACACCTGATGTTAGCAGAATCACTGAAGGAGAAAACAGGAATGTTAGGTCACCATTATGGAGATCAGTATTTGTTTTAGTTGGGCTCTCGACCCTCACATCATTAACTTGATTTGATTGTGTTTTAACATAATCACTATTTCACAGTCTTTTGACCTGAATTTGTATTGAACCCAATTTCTCAGATAAGTTTACCTTATGGATTATAGCAACACTGTCATTGTAGAGCATGCCATTTTAGCCTTTTCAATGAAATCCAAATGACCAATTCAATTAAAAAAACAAAAAAACATTTGTATGCAGTGACAGACATCAAGAATTAACGTATGAATCTCAGCAATGGTGACAAAAAGATCACCTCTGAATATAAGCTCATTATTTATTCATGCAGCAATGTATGATGGGAGCCATGAATGAGTTTTGATTGGTGGCACCCAGAATGCACTGAAACATTCTTTATAATTGTCACCATTGTTGAGATTCACAGGCTGATTCTTGATGGATTTCATTGAAAAGGTTAAAAAATGTATTCTTTACAATGACAGTGCTACTTTATTCCATAATGTAAACTTAACTCAGAAATATGGTTCTAGCCTATAGGAGTTCAGTGAATCAGTCAAATTATTGTGAACTAATGATTATGTTAAAACACAACCAAGACTATCAGATCACCTTCTCAATTTGTTCATCTGGCCGTTATAAATCATGTACTGCAGTCAAACATAATCTACAGTTAATGATTTAAGGGTCAAGAGCCCAACTAAAGCATACAATGATCACCATAATGGTGACTTAAAAATTTTGTTTTCTCCTTCAGTGATTATCATCAGGTGTCTTCAATAATGCTCAATCATCAAGCAATTATTCACTTAATTGTCTCATTAACTTTAACACTGCTTCAAATTAACCCAGTTATGTACAGCCTGTTGACATAAAAAAGTTAATTAAAGACAACATGTCATTTATATTAATGTGTTAAAGTGTGTCACGTGTGAAGAGCTCAATTATACGGTTATCAATCAAATCAATTAAATTCATATAGTTAGTCATAATATGTATCATATACATATAGTTTTTAACACATGGTGGATCATAACTATATATATATATATATATATATATATATATATATATATATATATATACATGAGCGTACATGTGTGATAATTTGTACACATAATCTCCAGACAAAACGCAAACAAGAAATCTTCAAAAGTTGTTAGGAGAGAATGAACGCTTCTTTTAATGCATAGACTGTTAGAAAACATTAAATATATATATATATATACACACTGTTCAACATTACAGTATTTGTCATCTTTACACAATTTCTCATTTAAAGAACATCAATCCAATACTGTAACAGTACTCTGTAAGGATTCACATGCACAGAATCTGAAGAACCATTTCAAATTATTCAAATAATTTAATCATCGTAGTGTCTTCAAATTAAAACACCACTGCAATGAATTCCTATATATTATAAGATATTTAATTATAAATGAAAGTACATTTAAATAAAATGTTTGCAGTTTATCATGCATTCACTGGGAATTAAACCCTTGACCTTGGTGGTGGCATCTCCTAATTCAAGCCTTTATGGAATAAAAACGGGATAAAATGATTTTTCAATATCATAAAAACAAAGTACAGTATCTATGCAATATAACAATACATTTAGGATAATAAAAACGTTTTAGAAAAGGGAATGAGGAAACAAGTGTTAAAAAACAACAACAACAACAACAACAAAAACCAAACAGGACTGGTAGTTCCACATTTTATTACACAGTTTATTTCACAATACACAACCAGAACAAATGGTTCAGAAAACAGAAAGTGTGGGAAAGTGTTCACTCGATGTTCTTAAAAAAAAAAAAAAAAACATTAGTGTTTTACACAAAGAAATTGTATTTTTGAAAAAAATTTAATGTTTAAACTACTGCATACTCCTGTGATTTAAAGAGGAATGGGGCTCCTGGGTTCACTTCATCTCGCTGTGATTAGACACATTCAAAGATTAATCTGATGTTGCATCCATACTACAAGATGTCAAAACAGCAAAGTCCCTTTTTCAGTTTACTCAGTCTGTGGCCATATTCATAACACTCCATGGCAGCGATTTCTTCTAATGCAAGTGCAGCTCCATCAAGTTGAATACAGAAAGAACAAAATCTTTAAAATAAAATCTCACAACAGTGGTGCTCATACTCAAATCCCTTCACTTCATCTAGCTAATGCACATGCACACTCAACAGTAATCAAATGCACAATGAGTTATAATCTGTAAAGTGGGATTACAGTCAGCCACCATATTTTTATGATTTTTTTATGATTTCTCAGATTCAAAAATGCGTCTGGAGTTTGATTCCATATGGCGTCTGGTGCCCTCAGTCTCTTCCGACCTTTTGATTTTGTTTATCTACGGTCTTGTCCAAAAATGGTGAAAGCCTTTAAAATAATAACAACTAGAAAAGTAAGGAAATGGAAACCATTTCCATAGTGCTCTGTCTTTATATTCAATCAGTGGAGATCTGGAGTGTCATACTGAGTATGGTTCTTTGCACTATATATTGTTATTCATATTTATCGCTCCAATTTTCTTGAGCTCTGCTGCATAAATATCAGCGCTCTCTTTGTATCTCCTCATGGCCTCCTCCATCTTCTGCCTCCATTCTTCCATTTCATTATAATGCTGTAGCAAACGTTTGCGTGCGTCTCTCAGGCTGCTCTGTTGATCTATATCTTTAATTGTTTCAACTTGCTCTTCTGTACTTGTGGGTTCTTTTGTTTTGGATTCTTCTGAGGTACATTTAATGTTGCTTTTTTTCTTTTTCCCCCTTTTCAGTGATTCAATACTAATCCATTTTTTATGTTTTTTGTGATCTTTATTATTAGATTCTCTTTCTGTTTCTTTTTTTTCTCTATCCAGTTGTGTTTTTCCTTGAATTTCTTGCTTGTCTATCAGCTCTTTTGCTTCGATCTTATTTCTCTCAACATGGGCTTTAGATTCACATTGCTCTTCTGTTTGTTCAGTATCTGTCATTTGTTTTGTTCGATACTTTCTTAATAGTTTGTTTTCTTTCTCCAAGAGCAGAAGATCTCTAATTTTAAGTTTAGCTCTTTCCTCCTCTAATTTGTCTTGAATTTCTTTGATTTCAGACTCAAATTTGGCTTTAATGGTCTCCATCTCTTGCATAACCTTCTCCTCTCTCTCTTTATTGAACTCTTGAAACATTTTATTGCTATAGAAACTGGCATCGTTATCCCACATCATCTTATCGATCTTCTTTAACAGACTCACGACCTGAGCAGGATCCTTCTGTTTATTATTGAACACATGAAATCTTCCTCCACAGTCGTGGATCAGTTGTTGGACGTGTGGATCTCCTTCTTTAACGTAGTCTTCAATACTTTCATCTAGATTGTCTCCTCGAGTGAACAACACCATAGTGTAGGTCTCCGCTTTCTGCCCGAAGGTCATCTTGATGAGCTGAAGTGTGTCTCTCTCTTCTTGTGTGATGGGGCCGACAGCGATGACCAGCAGAAACACGTGAGGTCCAGGAGCCGATAGTTCAATGCATCTCATGATCTCCTGTTGAATGTCTTCATTGCTGAGGCTTGTGTCGAAGAGTCCTGGTGTGTCCACAACACTCACGGGTCGACCGCAAGCGTATCCTCTCTCTCTTTGGCAGATCCTGGTCACAGACTTCATGCTGGCCTTTGATTGAAACATGTCTCGTCCCAGGATGGTGTTTCCGGTTGCACTTTTTCCCACTCCAGTTTTTCCAATCAGAACGATTCTCACATCCTCCAGGCTCTTCGCAGTGCTGGCTGTAGCTGTTGTATACAATCAGAAAGTTTGAAAATTTACCCAATAATGGATCTTATTTTTTATTTAAAGGTGCACTCAGTCATATTTCATCATTACATAGAAGTTTTACAGGAAAATAAATAAGTAAATACATAAATAATAGCACAATTGAATTGAAAAACCCCATTCATACTAGTGGTCTATTACGCAGCTTTATTCTATTTGCAGTGGGTCATCTTTTGTAATTTTTTGTTACTACTACAAATGTTAGCCTGGATGCCAGCCCGAACTCCGCCCACAACATTTTTTAGTCGGGAAGTTCGTTCTGGACTCGATCCATTGAGGAGTAATTATGATCAGGCAAGAAATGTTCGGACCAATCAAATTGCCAGGGCGGGCTTTATACGATGATGGACAGATGATCTGCAGGGACGTAATCATCACGTTATCAAAGAGCGCTTAACTGTTTTCCCTCAAAGATGACTGCAGCTGGAGAATTGAGATGTATAGATTCCACTGTCGGGTCTGTTGTAAAATAAATCGACAGCGCATTAATTTTAATAGACGAACAGAAAACTGCAATCAAGGCATTTGTCGATCGGAAAGATATTTTTGCCCTCCTTCCTACATGATTCGTCTAAAGTGTAACTTATTAGCTGGATGTAACGACGGGACGTAATGAAAAGCCTGTGGTCGTTGTGGTTTCTCCTTTGGTTACTCATGGAGGAGTAAGTAAAAGAAGCAACACTCGTTATTTTACTTCTAAAATAAGTAAGTTCTATAGTTGAAAACTGCGCTATGCAAAGGAGTTGACTTACTGCGTTGCTCTGATTGGTTGTGGGTTTACCGACTAGCCAATTGAGTGCAGAGGTGTTTTTTTTTTCCTGGTTCGGTTAAGACACGCCTCATAATCAAAGCCCTACGGAGCGGTCTCAGACTCATATTCCGACAAGAATGAGTATGACGAAGTCAGGCTAATTAAATATAGCAGCAAGCAATGAACATTAGAGATAAACAGAAAATTACCATAATTTCAAAACTTTAAATAAAAGACGCATACAAACTGGTTAGCCTGAGTTCCTTTTCAGCCGGTCACATTGAATTACAATGTTGAATTAAGTTACGTTGACGTCACCAACGTATTTCATCATAATGGTGACTTGAAACGAAAAATTCCATAAAACATAACCGTCTAACCTTCTGTTGAATCTCAAGAACTTTTGTAGATGTATGACAGAAATAAAGTCAAACTGGTAAAAATAAGTGCAATAATGTGTAATGGCATGAAGTCGGTTGTAGTTCTGTTTCTCTTTTTTTCAGTGATTCTGCTTATTAACATCGGGTGTCACCACTAATGGCCAATCATCACTTAATTAATCACTTAATTATCGCATTAACTTCAACACTGCTTCAGTGTTCATTTTTAACACCCTGGAGTTAGACACATGTACAATGAGAAGTGTTAGTTTAACACTGGGGATATTTTTTGTTTATGAAACTTCTCTGCGTATGTCTTCCACCCCAGAAAGTTGGGGGTATGAGAGACTTATGTTGGGCACTGAAAGTGTGGCATTTTCCAAAGGGATCCCAAATATATCGACATTACATTGAGCGTGAACCACAGTAACCCTCGTTCAGTGAAGGAGGGAACAGAGACATTACGTTCCATCACCACGGTTGCTGTACCATCGCTACACGGCCGAACATGACTCCTCAGCAAGTATATTTTTTCCATTTACAACAATGCAAAAATAGCCATTTATTCTGAAAAACGTTTGTCAGCATCATACATTGACAAGAATGTTAAAGTCAGATATTCAAAATCTTACTAAGTACACCATTAAACTCATAAATGAAAAATCAAATATAAGAGATCTGTAATACTCACAGTTTGATCGCAGCAACTTTATAGGCCTTGGCTGGAAGGTTGATACCACGGGCTCTTTATAGATAGATTAACATTAATACACTTAAATTTTAACATTTAAAACTCATACAGTTTTATACAAAGCAACTTACTAATGAAGAAAACAAAATGACTTGTTGGCTGAATGTGCATTTTGAAGAACCAAAATTCTATTTTCAGATTTTTTTTTTTATTTTTATAATACAATCTTCATGTTCACTTGAATAAATATAGCATTAAGGTCAGGAAATTTTCATTTTTGGATGGAGTATACATTTAAATATCACATAAACTAATAAAAGGTGTGTGAGGCGTGAAGAGGAATTATGGCTAAATGCAACACTATCTCACGACCAATTCGTACGAATTTGACACATGATTAAAAAGTGTCTAATTCGTACTAATTCGTACGACCTCACTCGTACTAATTCCTACGATTTGTCTAAACCCACGTGATGGTTAGGTTTAGGGGCGGGGTCAGGGGTAGGTCATTCGTACGAATTCATACGAATTGGCCAATTCGTAAAATATGTACGATTTAGCAAAATCGTATTAATTCGTACGTGTGAGGTCGTATGAATCGTTACGAATTAGCCACTTTTTAATCATTCGTCGAATTCGTACGACTTGGTCGTGAGATCGGGTTGCTAAATGTGTATATATACTGTATATATATATATATATATATATCTCAGTTACTGTAGATTTTTGTCTTCATATTCAGGATATCATGGACCCAATACATGTTTGATGGTTTTACCCTGTTTTATTCAGTTTTACACTCTCCCTAGCATTGTGCAGGGATTTGGGGCAGGGTAAAAATGGCGTAGACAGCACCTATATGCACATGACAGGTATTGTGACTGGCTAAACCAAATACGTGCATTAACTCTCCATTAGCAAAGATGGCAAATTTCAAATCATATTTAAATTTTACAAAGATGTTTCAGATATTATTTCTGATGCCACTTATGGCTTCTGATGTCCTTTGTAATTGTACTGACATAATTAGATTTCAGTTGAATCAATAATGTTAAAAGACATTTCATACTCACTTTGAAATGGATTCATGCTATACACCCGTCTACGAAACATTGAATTTTCACCTACAAATAAGAGGGAAAGTTGTTTAATCTACTCATTCTGCAAACATTAGCTCTGTTGTAAATGTTTTCACATTTACATGGCTAAATTGTTCTTATTTGTAAAATGTTTAAAGTTTCACATATACATTTGTTTATACCATTGGAAGTATTTCAGTTAAAGGTGTACCTGAAGGAACCTGTTTTATGAGGACAGCCCTCAATTCTTCAGGGATCTTCAAGTAATGGCCTCCATTTTCTTCCACCATTTTATCGATGCTCTCCAGAAGTGTCTGCACCTGTGTTTGGTCTCCATTCCTCTGTAGATGATGGAGTGGTCGTCTGCAGGTCTGTTGGAGAGACTCCACAGCTCTGCTGACGGTGTCAAGCTCTTGCATGTTCACATACTCTTGCTCCTCATGCATTAAGACCACAATCACATACTCAGATGCACCTGCACCAAACATTATGTCAATGAGGTTAAGGGTATCTTTCTCTAGATCTGTAAATTTTCCAGGCTTGAGGACCATCAGAAGAGCATGAGGTCCAGGAAAAGCCAAACGGAAGAATCTCTTCAAGTCTTGTTCTTCAGGAGAGAGAGCAGGATTGAACAGATCAGGAGTGTTCGTGACCACCACACATCTCTCCAACACCAACCCAGCATGCCTCTCAAACAAGCTGAGGGTGGATGGTGACTCTGAGAATTTCTGCAATCCCAGGATTGTGTTGCCACAGTAAGCTTTTTCCTCTGTGTTTGACCCCAGCAGCACTACTCTCACTTCTTCTTTGGGCTGAACCACTGGAATTACACAAACATGTATTTTATTTTTTGTTTGGGCATATATGCTCCATCAGATGCTAATGTTTTAAAATCAGTTTTGGTTAATCCATTCATAAAATGCTTATGATTTTTCAGTAATTAATTCAGGCAGTCACTTAAGAAACTTTAATGAAAACCCTATGTATCTATCGCTTGTGGTCTCATGTGAACAAGACAAGAAATAAAACTGGTCTAACACAAAGATCTGTATCTCCTGTTACTATTCCAAGAAAGATAAGAACTAATAAGCTCACTGGAATCATTAATAGAATTTATAATTGTATATATCCAAGATAAAAGAAAGAAAACTAACTTTAAAACAAAATCTGAAATTTAAATGTGAATCGCCCTGTATAGAGGTCTACTTTTGCTTTCTTTTTGTCCTGGTAAACATCTCCGATTTTCCTCTAACATGAGAAACATCTAAAAAGTACAGTCTAAACTATAAAATGTTGCTTAAATCTACATGAATATATTGTTGTTGTAACATAAGCAATAAATCATTATCAGTACAGCAATTTATTTTCTCCCCTGAAGCAATACCATTTATGATTATGTATGTGTAAATTACAAAGATCAAAATATATGAGGAGACTCACCAGGTTTTATAGATGATTTGTCAGCCATATTCGATAACTGTTTTTTCACAGTGAAAGCATTTCAGACTGAGAAACTGTTCTCAGACCTTATTTAATTATTTCAAGTGTGTGTGTCTGTGTGGGTGTGTGTGTGTGGGTGTGTGTGTGTGTGTGTGTGTGTGTGTGTGTATGCGTGCAAAGCTGTGCATTGCAATAATGCCCTTGAAGCTGGTTGGACTACATATGTGGCATACTTTCCATACAACTCCCTCCATTATAATCTAATACGAATGGTTGTAAGATTGTCCAATTGTCAAATAGTCAAGTCAAGTCTTCAGATATATAATGCTTAGTCTCAGCCTCAGACGTCACGCCCACGGAACGTTGGCTAAACGTCTGATGCATATGGTCCACTTAACTGGAAACACTTCAGGAATGTCGAAGTCGTCATCTGATTGGTTGAATTTTATCGGATTTCCGGGGGGGCGTCAGTGTCGCGTTTATTTTCGGTCCGCCGGGAAACAAAGCGCAGACGTGTGATTGCAGAAAAAAAACTGTTGTGTTTATGAGTGACAATGAGCATTAATCAAGATCAGCTAAACGTACTGTAGTTGTATGTCCCCTCCTATCAATTATGGAAGATCAAGTGAAGTACTTAATTGCGAAGGGGATATCAGCCGCGTTTGTGGGCAAACATGAAACAACAGACGCTGACATCGCAGCTGGCCGAGATTCAGTATTCATAGGGCGCACACTGGATTATAAGGTGCATAAGATACTGCAGAGTCAAACGTTTGACTGCGAGTATTCAATGTGCGGCGGCTCGCTGACAGCTAACGTTACAGCTGGCTGTTTTGAATGAGACGAGCCGGTTACTGTGAACGGGGAGCGCTTTATGAACATAACTGTGACGCACGAGCAGCGCCGGGGACAGTGTGTTTGAGTGAGCGCTCGTGAGCACGTGATTTACACACATAACCTGATTTATACGAGGTTGAACTGGCCGTGTGACAAAGCGGGCATAAGATGGACATGAGCGCGAGTTCGTGGGTGAATTTAATAACGCGGAGCGTTGTTAACGAGCGCCTCCGGTGACTGCTGCTGAGTGACTGACTTGTTGCACGCCGGTCTGATGTTGTGGGGACATTTCCACGCCCCGAAACGTGACGCTGAATGAAACGAACTGTAATTGGTTGTTTGACATGTCGGTCAAACGGCCTTATGGGCGGGCCTTGGCCAAAGAAAGCTGCTATGAATTCCAGACCTTCAGCCGTCAGTCTGAAGGTCTGGCTACGCGAGACTATATAATGCTTTTAACAATTGTTTCAAAGCTGCTTTACAGTGATAATAGGAAATCAAAATCAAAGCAACAGAGATTGTTTAGGCTTTATGGCAGCTCTAGAATAAAGTTATTTTCCAGTTAGTTAGTTTTAAATTATGGAAGACGATTTCGATATATCTAAATATGTTTAGTGAAAGGTAAAACTTCCAAAATCTCTGTGTAAACAATGAGTGACGTACACACGCGAGAGATCACTTCCGGCGGAACGTTGGACACGGTTCAGTTGGACATTGGACAACTGATTCAGATCACTTGGACATGGCTGTGTACACGAGGTAAAAACGATATAAATACTAGGGCTGGGCGATATATCACACGATATTGTAATGCGCATCTAATCAGTAAAGCCGGTTCCTTGTTTAACAGTAAATCACCTTCACCTGCTTTCAGATGAAAGATATGAGTGTTAAATGAACACTCAAGAGTGTTAAAGTTAATGAGATAATTAAATGATTAATTTAGTGATGATCGAGCATTATTGAAGACACCTGATGATCACAAGCAGAATCGCTGAAGGAGAAAATCACAAATTGTAAGCCACCGTTATGGAGATCAGTGTCTGCTTTGGTTGGGCTCTTGACACTTATGCTTTCACTTTAAACTTTGTTTGTCTGCTGTTATTTATTTATAACAGTCAAATAAACAAAGAAAAGTGTGATCTGATAGTGTTGGTTATGTTTTGACATTATCATGCTGTGATTTGTAAAATTAAACTTGTTCAGATGATTTGTTTAACTTGTTAGCAACAGTTTAGTGGTTCTACAGAATATGATAATCTGTATTTTTCTTGTAATCCAAATCAGTTAATAAAAATTGTTTTGATCAAATCACTTTCAAATACATTTATTTAGAAACACAAACATTAATAATCAGCCTGTGAATCTCAACCGTGGTGACAATAATGATCCTTGTTGCCAACAATCACAACTCATCAATGGCTCCCATCATGCATTGTGGTTTGAATAAATTATGATCTGAATTGTCTATGTAATTTACTTTTCCTAATTGAATATTCTGCTCATCACCATTGTTGAGAAGCATTGACTGAATCTTGAGGTCTGTGTGTGCCTAAAAGAAAGGGTTTTTTAAACAACTTTTAAGAAATCCATAATATTATATCTCAAATTCTGAATATTTATGCAGAATCTCAGTTATACTGTAACAAACAGAATAAATCACAACATACATTTCAAATGATGAATGTTATAATATAACCAACACCATTAAATCACATTTTTTCTTTGTTCATCTGTCAGTTATAACTCAGATACAACCAATATTATGAAGCTGCAGACTCGGAGCCTGCATCTACAGTCCCCCACCGAGAGTCCCGCATTCTCAGACCACTCGTTTTTCAAACACAGCGCCTCCTGCTGTTCAATAGATCATATAACACCCGCACACAGAGTACAGCGCACGATTATCCAAATGCAATTAAAAACAATAGGATGTAATATTACGGTCTCCAAATAAATTATCCAATAAATAATTGTGTTCCCTGCTTAATGCATGTGCCAAAAAAAAACAAACTCATTGTTACTGATGGAAGGGATACAATTACAGATTGAACTATCTTCTGAAAAATAGTATGTGATATTATATTGTTACAATGTTTTTTTATATATACTGTATATATTTAAATCAAATTCTATTTTTTCTTTCAGTTCAACCTATAATGGTCTAATTAACATTACCATGCTAACATTACAAAATCTGTTTTTTTATATTTTGAATGCGAAGCAAAACAAATCAGAATAAACAAAACACCAATAATAAACAATTCTGACCTTTATTTAATCATCACCTAAACATCATCTTGCTGAAAAGAAAAAAGGAAGAAAAACTGTGTTCGTGACTTTACTTTTCATCTTCAATTGCATAAAAAAAAACTCAAGTCGCTTTGCATAATCATAAAATGATATGTTGGATTCGGCAGGGGCAACTCCATCGATGTATGGTGTGGAATAGCCTACAACAGTATAGGCCCGATAGCACGCCTTATGATGCTTCAAAAAGAAGGAAAAAAAACAAGAAAGAAAAAGATGTTTGCAAATGTTACCATCATGTTGCACTGCTCTGTTGAAGTACGTGTCCCTTGAGATGTTTTTGAACTTTGGACAACTTTGTGGGTTTGAAATATATGGGGGCACAAAACGGGCAGTGAAAATAACTGCAGCATTTAAGACATTTCTACAAAAAGTCCAAGGTTAAAGGCTAACGGAAACGTAAGCTATTTAATTATTTTCGGGGGGAAGAGGGCGAAAAAACATACATTAACGGCTCAAATCTTGTTACAAACTATCTTTACAAATATTAAATGGACTATTCATAAGTTGTATCGATGAGCTAAATTAGTTTTATTAATCAAACAAGTAGGCTACTACGATTCACTAAATAAAATTAAAGATAGCCTACTCACGTTTTGGCTTAAGTTCTTCACATATTCTTCACATGTTTATCCGATACAATTTGATAGGCGGCGCTGTCTCGATAAACAAGGGGTCTGAGAATGCGGGACTCTGGGTGCAGGGGGACTGTAGATGCAGGCTCCGAGTCTGCAGCTTCATACTACCCAATACAACAGCCAAACAAAATCTAAAGTTAATATTATAAGGGTCAAGAGCCCAACTAAAGCAAACACTCATCTCCATAACGGTGGCTTACAATTTTAGATTTTCTCCTTGTGATTCTGCTTTAGGTGTCTTCAATAATGCTCAATCATCACTCATTTAATCACTTAATTATCTCATTAACTTTAACACTCTTGAGTGTGGACTCATACACGTGTGTTAATTTAACACGGGAGATTTTGTCGTGACGAAGAGCCGTAGTTAACTGACAAGCTGAGCCATATCACATTAAATATCGGTGGCGATACGTCCTCGATATTAACGCGATATGGCTCAGTCAGTGATCTACGGCTCTTTGTAGTAAATGCCGCTCCATCTGAAAGCAGGTGAAGATGATTTACTGCTAATCAAGGAACCGGCTTTACTGACGAGATGCGCATAACAATATCGATATGTGATATGTCGCCCAGCCCTATTAACTACATTACACTACTATATTTAATGTTGGATACAATGTACAATAATGCAATGGTGCAATATCTCTGGGTCTCGACAATGCTGACAATTAATGCTGACAATTATTAAGGTGGTTGTTGGAGATGATCCAATGATCAATGGTCTTACAATTATTTAAGACTGAACTTTAATATTTAAATTATTTTTTTTTTTTAAAAACAATGATTTCATTGTAAAAAAATATTAAAAATTCACATGTTAGAATCAATGCTGTGGAATCCTTTTCAGTAATGGTCAAAAGATGACCAGCCGAGGAAAACTGACATCTGCACCTTTTGTCCAAATACTAAAAAATGATGTCAAGATTTTGCAATCATATTGCGAAGTTGTGCTTGGATTCAATTGTTTTATTTGTGATAATAATGCAGTGAAACATGGCAAATCATACAAAGAAATTATGTACACATGACAGAACAACAAAAAACAAGAGAGAACCAGGCAAATATTAAAAGCATTTAAAATATTCCTAATATTGTTCTGGGAGTCCACTGTCCCCAACAACAGTTTTACATGAATGCAATGACAAAAAACACTTTATTTGTCTTATTATATGAATTTATTTTTAACTAATTTGCTCACCGACTCCCAAATGATTCGTACAACGACTCATTTTTCCAAACCACTCCTTTGAGTGACACTAATCGGTTGTGATTGGTCAGATGACAGACCCAGTCAGTTATTGTTTGTTAGCATAACGCATAAACATATTGATAAAGCACTGCAGTACTACAAGACGATCTATTCTTTATGACAACTCCAATAACAGCGACAAACATTTCACATATTTAAAAAAAAATGACATTGGAGACCTAGAAGCTGCGCTGAGTGTAACTTACACACACACACACACACACATGCATACTTATTGCGCCTTCCCTCCTCGTGCCCGACGCTACAAAACCCATAAAAGCAACAATTATTAATAATACTTACAGGTTGTGATTCATAGGAGGAAGCTGATCCATATCCACTGGGTAAGTAAGTAAGTAAGTTACTGAGCCCTCCTTCAGGAACAACCGCTTGCGAATCCACATTTGAATTCATTTATGTTTTTGAACGATTCGTCATTAAAATGATGAGAACACAATCGGGCTATACTGTTGTGGCATCGTTGCAAATATGAACTCTAACCACCGATTTTTCACATGCTCGTCCCTGGTAAATGAAAACAAAGTGGCTGAACTATCTTTGCATTGTAAAACACAGCGTCTTCTTGACATAGTATTTGAAGTATTTGTGTTCTAGACTTCAAGTTTACACTTCCGTCTGCGCACGCAGTAAGTGCGGCCAATATTCTTATGTTTCGTATCTACGTCACTACGAAACAGCTAATGACTCGTTTTAAAAAACAATTCATTTCATAGACTCAGAGTCGACTCTCACTTTTGAAAGACAATAACTTAATGGTCTTGTCCACTTAAATGATGTATGCTACTGTAAAAGTGGTACCGCCAGAACCAGAGATCGGCTGAATGGATTCAATAACAGTAAAACAGTTTAACTCTGGGGGAGTTGTAAAATTAGCCAATTCCCCCAAAAAGTGGAGTATCCCATTAAAAACAGATTGAAATTTTTCATAAATATCATTTGCATTTTATAAAAAACTGGAGTTGGTCAAGAATAACCTTTTCCAACACCTTTGAAACAAAAGGTAATACAGAGATATGACTGAATGTCATGATTCTGCCATCATGTCCGTGGTTATTCCTAGTATTGGCAGGATCATGACAGACCCATGTTTTGTGTGCAAGCGCATGGCCAGCTGTTTTGGCCATGTGCTTGTGTTGTCTCGTTTCTTTACTCCGCCCCCTTGTTATCCTCGTCTCGTCATTATTGTCTAGTCAGTCTCACCTGTCCTCGTCATTAGTGTCTCTCTATATTATTCCCCTTGTGTTTGCTGTCCTTTGTCGGTTCATTGTTAATCCATGCCAAGTTTGTGAGTACCTGTCAAGAGTAATCGTCCCGTTGAACTATTGCTCGTGTCAGTTGTTTATCTAGTAGTATTTTGTCAGTACCTTGTCTACTCAGTCACCATAGTCCTTGTCAGAGTCTTGTTTTGCCCCCTCGTGGGCTTGTTTTCCCCTTTTTGTCTACAATAAACTATCTGTTATTGCATTCTGTCTGCGCCTGGGTTCATCCGCCACCCATACCATAACACTGAAGTTATTTAGCATGGTGGGATCCAGTGAAGGCTTCTTGAGTAACGGAGTGGAAGTGGCCGCCTTAAGAGCAGGGATGGAGCAGTGAGGGAGGCACTTAGTTACAATAAATTAACAATGTTATATACGTTGTGTATATATATATATTGTTGGGGAATTTTAATCTCACATGTATTACATATGATCATTGGGTCTTGTGTTTCTATCTACATACCTCCTATATGTAATAACAGAGGAATGTCTTATTGTTTTGCTATCCGTGAAGGAGGTAATTTGTCTTTCTTTTATCAAGAGTGGAGCGAGGCACCAGAGAACCGGCCGGGTCAGAGGTCATCTTAGACTGGGGAGGATAGAGGGGGTTAGCGGTAAATCTAACCTAGCATTTGAATCCATTGCTTGTGAATTTTACAGGGAGGCTTGGCCTGTAGTGAATAACCTTGGAAGAGCTATAAAGACAGACTCCGGCCTGTGTTCTGCGCGTCACTCTCTTCACAGTGTACCAATCTGTGTTAGCGACTGGGCCTATTCTTGCAAGAATAAACTTCTCTTTCTTTATTAATTTGACTCTGAAGTGTCTCTTACGCAGTGATGTCTGTTTATTGAATTTTTGCCTCAACAATATATATATATATATATATATATATATATATATATATATATATATATATATATATATATTTGCATATAGGGTGGCTGCCTATGCTTCAGCTTCTGATACATGGAGTGAGAACAGGTTGAAAAAATTAACATGGAAAAAAAAGAGAAAAAATGTATCAAGAAAAAAAAAAACCTTAATATTTGATCTTCATGTTTAGGATATAAAAACAATCACATAATAACACATCCTTGTGTTTGCTTTGTCAGCTCTTTAACTTCTCTTTGTAGCTCTCTTATTTCTCCTCCTTTCTGGGCCTGCAGGTTTTTATAGACTTTTACCAGTATTTTATGTTGTTTTTCACGCTCTTTAAGCATCTCACCGAGCTCGAGAACATGATGCAACTGTCTCTCTTTGGACTCATAAAACTCTGCTTGTTTTCGGGCTTCATCTTCATATTGCTTCCTCACATTTTTTAATTTCTTTTCATATTCCTTTTTCATGTCATCTAATTTTTTTTCTTCTTGTTCGATTCCATCATCTTCCTCTTCTCTTTTCATGATCTCTTTGTCTCGTTCTTGTTTCAGATCTTCAATCCTTTTCTTCCATCTCTTTCTCTCTTCTTCTCTTCTTTCATCATCTTCTAGTTTTCTTCTCTCCCACTCCTTTTTTCTCTCATGTTCCAATCGTTCATAATATCTTTCCATTTCAGTTTCATTTTCTTCATATTCTCTCTCTTTTTCTTCTCTAATTTTTCTTTGTTTCTGTATCTCCTCCTCTATATTCTTTCTTTCTTCTTCTCTCTCTCTCTCAAATTTCTTTCTCATTTTCTCCAGTTCTTCTTGTTTTTCTCTCAGTTGGTCCTCATGTCTCTCTTTTCTCTTTCTTTCTTCTTCTTCTCGTTCTCTCATCTGTCGTTTCTTTTCATCCTCCCATTCTCTCTGCTGTCGTTTAATTTCCTCTTTAGTCTCTCTTCTGTCATTTTCTGCCTCTTTTATTTTTCTCTCCCATTCTTGTCTTTCTTTCTCTTCTTGTTCAATCCTTCTTTTCTCCTTCAAATCTCTCTTTTTAGTTTCTTCTTCTTGTTTAATCTGTAATTCTGCTATAATTTGTTCTTGTTCATTTTTCATCTTTTCTTGATCTCTTCTGTATTTCTCTTCTCTCTTTCTATCTTCTTCTTCTCTTTTTTTTAGCTGTTTTTCATACTGTAATCTCTGATTTTCAATCTCTCTCTTCATCTCTTCTATTTTTCGATGATATTCAGCTCTTTGCTGTTCTTCCTCTTCTGATCGTTTCTGGTTTTCCATCTCTCGTTTCTTCTGTTCTGATTTTATTTTTTCTTCAAACTCTCTTCTGAATGTTTCCTCTTTTTGATCTGAATCTGCTCTTTGTTTTTCTTCCCTGAGACTCTTCATCATATTTTCCTTTTCCATCTCATATTTTGCTTTTAATGCCTCGCGTTCCACTTGAATTTCTCTTTCTCTCTCTTTCAGTATTTCCTCCATCCTCTTTTTAATGGACATCTCTGCCTCCTCAAACATGCTGTTAGTGAAGTATCGACCCTCATTGGTGTTTCTCACTTCTTCTATCATGTTCAACAGTTGAGTTACTTGAGTTTTGTCTAGTTGATCTTTGTTATTGAAAGCCAGGAATCTGTTTTTACAATCTCTGATCAGTTTCTTCAGTTCTGCAGAGTTACTTTCCCTCACATAATCCTCTATAGATTCATCCTCAAGATCGTCTCTTCTGGTGAACAGGACGATGCTGAACTGAGCAGATTTTGGACCAAACATCTTCTTTATCAGATCTACAGTGTCTGATTCTACCTGGATAAATCTTGCCAAACTTAACACAATGATGAACACATGAGGTCCAGGTGACGACATTGAAACACATTTCTCTATTTCTTCCAGCACTTGATCATTTGTCAGTGTCGTGTCAAAGAGTCCTGGAGTATCAACAACAGCGACTGATCGACCATCAACTTCACCAACTCCCTTCTGACACACAGTCGTCACTGAATCTGATTTTGCTTTACTCACAAACTCCTTTCTTCCCAGAATAGTGTTTCCTGTTGCACTCTTTCCATTTCCTGTCTTCCCGATCAGCACAATCCTCAAACACTTCTGATCATCTGCTTCACCTTCAGCTCCTGAAAAATAATGTTAGTGGAATTATTAAGATCAGACCCCTTCACTGTAAATAATAATAATATAAAAGCACAAATGACTGCCAAATAAAATTAAAGTAAAAATATCCTAGTTTAAATAAACTGAAAACACTGTTAAATGCATTTCAAATACTTTCACTGTAAAAAAGAAAAGAAAAAATTAAATTTTACACTAATAAATGTCTCAAGATTTCAGCAATCAAGTTTGAATTTATTTGTTTAAAAGTTCTTATTTAGAATTTACAGAGGTTTAGATGTTTTATTGAAAGTAATAGTTTTAAAACAAAAACGCTTGACTTTTTAACATTATTTTTTCTGCTTTTTATTTTTTATGGTGACAAATGCAGAAGAAAATAAGTTGAGGTGACTGAAAGACATTGATTGACAGCCTGGCCCCCTATCGTATTTTAGTCTGATCACATTTTACTTTGTAGTGAATTTATTTGTATAAATAATGACAACAACATATTTTACTGATCATGAAACACATGTTTGAAATTTGCAAAGATGGATTTTGGTTTTATTTGTTTCGAATTGGGTCTGGGGAAGCCAGCGCAAAACCCAGATATGGTAAGTGAACATGCATATTGCGTGCAAAACAGTAAAAATTAGGGGTGTAACGGTTCACAAAATTCACGGTTCGGTTCAGTTTGATACGATACACCGGTTCGGTTCGATACGGTTCAGTACGTTTCCGATACAGCAAAAAGAAAGAAATGGCAGAGAAATTTCCTTGATTTATTTTTTTTATTATATTTTTATTAAAACTAACATCATAAAGTATGATATTTTTTTTTACTTTGAGCAATGATGGAACTATACTTGACTTTCCTTAGGAGCTTATAAAACCGCTCCTTGGACAAAATGAAATGTAATATTGTAGTAGTTATAAACAAAGGTTTATTTTAGTTCAGATTGACATTTGAGGGCAGCAATTGTATTCATAATGTCAAAATAAAACTGACGTGATGTTACCTGAAAGCGATATAGCCTACCTGCCAAACTCCCATGATTACAGTGAGTGTTATACAGTAAACCCATGGTGAATGTTGCTGACCTGTGAACACTGGATAGTTCATTCATGACACAATGTTTCTTCCTGGTTTCCACGTCAGCGCTGTTTGATCCGTTAATAACGGAGAAATGTAAATGTTTCTCACTACAAATTTGAAGTAAAGAAAAATTTTTAATTCAGTGGCGAATTCAAATGTTTTTTTACTGGATCTCGCCGTGTAGTAACTGTGCTGCTTGATTAAGATCGGCTCGCGCTGCATTGGTCCAAACTGATCAACGGTCCATCAACCACACAATAACGAGTAGCTCAGTTTCGTTCCGCTTACATTACATTTGCCATTTGATGCTGGGCAATGTTGTGGTCACGTCAACATCTCTTACATTAAGAAGGCACTTGCCACACGCAACGCGCCTACATTTGAAATAACGAAATTTTGGTCGGCAGGAAAAATGGTCCAACGAACCGTTCGGTTAAAAAATGCGTACCGAAAACCGAACCGAAAGCCTCGTACCGAACGGTTCAATAGAAATACGTCTATCGTTACACCCCTAGTAAAAAAGTTGAACTTGAGACAGACAATATCCATATGGAGTCGTCATCAAATTGCAAACACTTATAGCAGGATTTAATTTTAAGGATTTAATCGACAACTTTGCACAGAGGAAAGTCCAAAAATGCTGTTATAATGTAAGTGAGCATTTATTTTATGTATTTGGACCTAGGCCTATGTGTGTAGTCACCAGTGTGACAGGCTGTTTTTTGTTTTTGTTGTGGTACGCGCAGGCTACTCCTGATTTTGGCAGTCATCTCATCTCTTTTATGCTTTGTCTCTATGATCCTATTCTGTTCAATATTATGAAGCTGCAGACTCGGAGCCTGCATCTACAGTCCCCCACTCAGAGTCCTGCATTCTCAGACCCCTCGTTTTTCGAACACAGCGCCTCCTGCTGTTCGAAAGATCGTATAACACCCGCACACAGAGGACAGCGCACGATTATCCAAATGCAATCAAAAACAATAGCAATATTACGGTCAGTGGCGCAAAAAGTGGGTGTGCGCTATATGCGGCGCAAAGGGGCGCAGCACAATGGGGGGCGCCAAAGCGATGGTAAAAAAAAAAAATTATATATAGGCTATATTGTATTTCTATATGTAGCTGCCGTTGTGCGTTTCTAAATCATTTCTGCATTCCTTCATTGTTATATAAAATTTCAGAGGACTAAAGGCCAATTTATACTTCTGCGTCGAGGGTACGCCGTAGTGTACGGCGTTGGCTTCGCACGTAGGCGACGCCGTTGTGAGCATTTATACTTCTGCGTTCAGGTATTGGTTGCGCTGCAGTACTGCTCCGAAACGCTAGGAGGCGGCGGAGGGTTTTAATGTTCCACTGTGTTTAGATTCCTCGCGGCTAGGTTACTACAAGCAATAGCGACTGAAAGAGAGTGGATCATGTTGGAGTTGGAGCTTATTAAGGTGGAAAAACAGTTCACTTTAGTGAAATTACTAAAACTGAAAGGCAGAAATGAGAGAAGACGTCGGAGGAGATGGTACGTGTGGAAATGCGTGAGAAGGTACGTGCGGAAATGCGTATGAGGAAATACGATGCTACCAAGCCGACCAATCACCGATCTTGCGGTACGCGTCGTCGCGACGTGAAGTTACATTTTTGAAGAGGTGCGCGTCAGGCGACGGCGAAGGGTACGCGGTATGGGACGCGTCTGTGCGTATGCTACGCCGTACCTACTGCGCGCACCCTACGCAGAAGTATAAATTGGCCTTAAGCGAGCAGGTACGGGTAGTGAGTTGTCGTCGAAAAAGATGGATAAAACAAAATGCTGTGGGGCTAAAAATAGAAAAAGAAAGAGAGAAAAGGAGATGGCATGTCAATTGATGCGACAGCAGCTAAATAACTGCATGCATTGCTGAAAGCCAACAGGTAGGATTTAAAATGTGACATCCAGGCATGGGCTATCTATATCTCGGTGGCCATCGGGACTACCGGGAGATTCCCGCTGGGCCGACGTGCTTTTCAGCCAATACATTTCATCCTTTTTTAATTTATTTGTCTTAACGGCCCACAAAACTCATACATCGGCGGCCCATTTGTTTGTTGTTTGTTTTTGTTTTGTTTTTTGCTTAATTGGCGGCGCTGTGCTGGTGTAATGCATTGGTCAAAAAAAGTCAGCTTTAGTTTTTTTTTTTTCTGACACACTGGCCCATGAAACGTCATTATGCGCAAGTATCTTTCAAGTATAGAAATATAGTGCAAAACTAATTATGAAAGTTTCCTTTATTTTTCAGTGCATTTGTTTTACAATAGCCTTTATGGCTATTACTATGGGATTAATATTATAACTATAGTAGTGTAATGTAGACAGACACTAACTAAAAGAGGTTCAAATTTTTCTTTGTTTAATTTGCACCCTGAATATGGGTTGGAGCTTTTAATTTTGAACTCTCAAAGTGCACCAGACTGCTGAATTTAACATTACAGAACACAAAATATTCTTATGGGGGAGCATGCCCCCGAACCCCCCTGGAGAAACAGAGGTCCACCTACCACAGTTTTACCTAAAATCCTGTGAGAAACACTGGTATTGCTGTTCCAATGGAGCTTATAGTTTTCTTAGGGGGGGTTCATTTTGCACTTATTTTTTCTGTTAGCTCTCATTTCTTCCTACTCACTTATTACACAGCACACTTACATTACATTTATTTTTCCTTTTTTTTTTTTTTTTTTGGAGGGCGCTAAAATTGTTGCTCCATACCCCTCTGAAACTGGGTAGTTGCACCCCTGATTACGGTCTCCAAATAAATTATCTAATAAATATTTGCGTTCCCTGCTTAATGCATGTGCCAAAAAACAAACAAACTCATTGTTACTGATGGAAGGGATACAATTACAGATTGAACTATCTTCTGAAAAATAGTATGTGATATTATATTGCTACAATGTTGTTTTATATATATATATATATATATTATTAAATCAAATTCTATTTTTTCTTTCAGTTCAACCTATAATCTAATTAACATTACCATGCTAACAATACAAAATCTGTTTTTTTGATATTTTGAATGCGAAGCAAAACAAATCTGAATAGACAAAACACCAATAATAAACAATTCTGACCTTTAGTTAATGATCACCTAAACATCATCTTGCTGTAAAGAAAAAAGGAAGAAAAACTGTGTTCGTGACTTTACTTTTCGTCTTCAATTACATTAAAAAAAACTCATTTATAAGTCGCTTTGCATAATCATAAAATCATGTTGCTGGGTTCGGCAGGGGCGACTCCATCGATGTATGGTGTACCCTGCCTAGAATACAACAGTATAGGCCCGATAGCACAAGTCTTATTTGTTTCAAAAAGAAAGAAAAAAAAAAGAAAAAAGATGTTTGCTAATGTTTTGAACTTTGGACAACTTTGTGGGTTTGAAATATATGGGGGCACAGAATGGGCAGTGAAAATAACTGCAGCATTTATGATGTATCTACAAAAAGTCTAAGGTAACGGTCAAAGGATAACGTAAACGTAAGCTATCAACATATTTTCAGGGGGAAGAGGGCGAAAAAACATACATTAACGGCTTAAATCTTGTTACAAACTATCTTTACAAAATGGACTGTATTGATGTATCGATGAGCTAAATTAGTTTTATTACAAATAAATCAAACGAGTAGGCTACTACGATTCGCTAAATAAAATTGAAGATAGCCTATTCACGTTTTGGCTTAAGTTCTTCACATGTTTATCCGATACAATTTGAAAGGAGGCGCTGTCTTGAAAAACGAGGGGTCTGAGAATGCGGGGGGACTGTAGATGCAGGTCTCCGAGTCTGCAGCTTCATACTACTCATTCTGTCCTATTCATGGTAACACATTCTCACCCCAAGGCGTCACCTTTGACCATGCTTCAATATTTGACGTTTTAGCCGCCCTTTAGCGTCACTTACATGACGCGATCCTACGGCGTCATCTAACTGACGCTAAAGGAAAGCGTCAGTTAGAGGACGCGGTTAGGTTTAGGTGTGGGGTGGGGGTAGGGTACACGCGATCCTAGGGCGTCATCTAACTGACGCTAAAGGGCGCCTAATGCGTCAGATATTGAAGCATGTCCAAATGCTTCCCAAGGCGTCAGTTAAGTGACGCCTTGGGGGTGAGAATGGGCTGTGGTAACCCACTCGTGGACATTAGGTCATTACATTTGGTAGGGGCCCGCAGATAATCCTGCATATATAGGGCCCGGTGTTGGCTCATTACGCCACTGCTGTCAACTAGTGGCTGGTTTCACTGATACCACTTACAGTCAAATATCATGTACATTTCCAGTTCACGAGTTCACATCTACATATAATTATTACGGTAAAGGTTTTGCGTACTTGGCGTGCTGTCCTCCGGGCTCCGAATTTCTTCTACCCGAACACAGAGTACTCCCCCCAATAAGCAAAAGGGCAAAAGAACAGCTGCCAGACAGCTTGATCGCTTGACCGTATATCTTCAAGGCGTTAATGGATATGTCCCGCTGACCAATTGGTGGGGAGCGGCGGAAATCGGAAAAACGGCTGACCGGGAGAGTTCATGTAGCGTTGGACGTGGGCGGCTCAATGGCGTCAGGATATTGGGCTCTACCAGCCGCCTATGAGGTGGAATGAATTTGAAAATGCTGGCTGGGCAGGAAAGATAAATACGTGTCAAGTCCATTGAGAGACCAATGATCGCTGGACAGAGGTAATGAAAAGATAGATGCATGCTGTGTCCGCAGGGAGGCCAATGCTTGCTGGATGGAAAAGAGTAGAGATAGATGCATGCTATTTCTGCTAGGAGACCAATGCACGAGATATTCGAGATAGGCATCAAGTACAGGTTTTGATGGGAATATTAATTCTCAAAAGTGAGGTACTGGAGAAAAGACATCACTACTGCAGCAGTAGAGAAAATTAAATTGAGCTTGTGAGGCTAAGCGAAGGGAGGAGGAGATTGGGGCCTGGCAGACCGATGCTCGTCTTCTTGCGCGTTAAGATTGAGGATGTTTCGCCCGTGGTGGCGAGGACCCGTTTGTTTGGCCTGACGCCCGCGAGATAACTCCAGAGGATTGCGGCAAAGATTCCTGATTCTGACGGACGAAAGATTCTTCATCGAACGGGAAGAGCTCGATTCAGACATATTAAGAAGGTACTGTGGACCAAATGTTGAAACTGTCAAGGAACAAACCAGGGTTCTGCTGTTATTTAATTTGTCCAGAGTGATTACTGAATTGACCACTTGTGCTGATTGGGTTAATGGGTTATCTGCACCTGCTCCTCCCGAACTTTGTTAATTAAACATAATTTAATGTCACAGAATTTACAGTAGCCTTAATTCCTTAAGCCACAATAATTCATCCATGTAACTGCAAGACATTTGCTTTACATTGAATGTGTTTGTTAGTAATAATTCAGTAAATGCCTGTAAAATAGCAACTTTTCTCTAAAATGCTTATTTTTTTATTTTATTTTTAAATTGCCGGCAGTCATTTGATTTTTTTTTTTTTTTTTTTTTTGTGATTTCTTTTTTTTTTTTAAATGCACAGTGTACATCAAACAAGTCATTACAAGGAGGAACTAATAAGCTATGGGGATTTTAAGAGTAAAATTCATTCACCTTCTGGTTGAATCTTCTGCTCTAATTCATCTATTTTTTTCTCCATTCTTTTCAGTTCTTCTTCATATTTCTCCTCTGCTTCACGTCTGGCTCTGTTCTCTTGAGCTTTCACATACATTTGTGGTGAATATGGTTCAGTCTTCATCTTCTCTATATAATCCAGCAGTTCTGGGATCTGTTGTGAGTTTTCGGACTCCTTTAACCCAATCACTCTGTACTGACCTCCACAGAGACTGATCAACCTCAGAGATTCTGGGCTGGATTTTATCAGGTCTGTCACTGGATCTTCAACACTGAGATCTGAGGTGAAGAGCACCACGAAATGCTCTCTGGAGTCAAATATCTTCTGGATCTTCTCTACTTCTGCTTTGTCTTCATCAGTCAGTGGAGCAACAGGAACAATGAGGAGGAAAACATGAACTCCAGGATCACAGAGACACACACAGTGGAGAGTCTGACGCATCACTTCCTCCTCTGAGAGATGATGGACAGCTGGAAGCTCCACCAGTCTGATCACACAATCATGAATCTTCTCTTTCTTCACACACTCTGATCTTCTGTCTTTCTGCTGCATGATCAGCTCTGATATGGAGGATTTTAATGTCCCATCTTTGCCACACAGAACAAGATTCACTGAAAAATGTTGCAAAACATATATAAGACATTTAGATTAAAACTTAAGCCATATTCAGACAGGATCAGTTTTGCAAGGGTATAATAAATAATGTAATTTTAACAGAGGACGTCTGTTATAATAATGACCAATTGGCACGGGACAAGAAAACCTAAGGTAACACTACTTGAAGGGCAATCATAACATGACACATTTACATTTAGCTGACACCTTTATCCAAAGCGACTTACAATCGCTGTATATGTCAGAGGTCACACGCCTCAACTAGGGGTTAAGTGTCTTGCTCAGGGACACATTGGTGTCTCACAGTGGATTCGAACCCAGCTCTCTCACACCAAAGACATGTGTCTTATCCACTGCGCCATCACCACCCCACACATGTTATGAAAATGAAGGAAGTCTTATGCATGTTTATGACAACTGTCATTAAGTGTCATTCGCTCAATTATGACATTTTTTAATGCAAATATGACATTGTTTAAGATGTCTTTGTTATGAAACCTTGACATAAACCAATACATCATAACCTGTCAGTGTCTTTGTCATGACAACTTGACATTACTAACCATACGTTCACACCGCCGCCGACGAGAGCAGCAAAATTCGCTCTTGCCACCCTGTCAGCAATGCCATGGAAAGATTCGTGGATGCTTTGATGCTCTGACCTAGATCGAATGCGTGATCTTTTTTAAAACTGTATTTAAAGGGGCCGCAAAGCAAACAAGCATGTCGATCGTTATTTTTGCAGAAAATTGATCGATGGAAAGAACTTAACAATTACATGACATGTTTGCCAATGAAATAAACAAATTAAACGCCATTTGTGTGGTGTGGCTCAATTGTGTTCATGGTGAAGTGCTATTATAATTTCCATTCTTGCTGAAAAAGTGTTCTAGTATGAAAATCTTGCCTATAAATAGTTTTGCGTGCCCTCTTATCAAATTCAAATGATCAACTTGTTCTATTTTGCTTGGAAACTAATGAGATCGGAACCAAAGTTTACAGGACTGCGTTCTCTGGAATTCTCTCAAACGGAGCACTTCTAAATTCCGATTGGTTGCCACCGAACTGCGTCATTCCTTATTACCATAAAGTTGACATGACTTCAACTCTCCTCGTCGCTCTCACATGCCGCGCCGCCCTCGCCGGAGCTCGTCGCTGGCTCTCATTGAAAATTAATGACTTACGGCCACTTTGACGCTCTCGCAGGCGGCACACTAAGACAACACAACCTAAACATGACATAGCAGACTAATTATCAAACTTAAGAAAGCACCTAGCTTTGGGTATGGGTAACTTTATATTTAACTGTCATTTGGTTGGTTTTGACATTGGCTGTCATGAAGCCATAATAACATGACAAATTCAATTTGTACCACTGTAGTTGAGGTCATGAAAAATATTAATGACACAGTTATAATGCCTCATGACAGCCAATGTCAAAGCCAACCACATGACAGTTTAACTTCATTTACTGTCAAGTTGTCATGACAAATACACTGACAGGTTATGATGTCATGGTTTATGTCAAGTTGTCATAACAAAGACATCTCAAACAATGTCATATTTGCATTCAAAATGTCATTATTGAGCGAAAGACACTTAATGACAGTTGTCATAAACATGCATAAACCCTACTTCATATTCAAGACATATGTCATGTCATGGTTATGACGGTGTCATGTCAGTCTTATGCACACCCCTTCAAGTAAAGTGTTACCAAATCTAACTAGCTGAAGGGAAGGCTTACTCGATTTACGCACCGCTGTCACCTTCCTGTTGTCATGTTTTCTGTACATATTTACAGCTGGTGTATTCGCACAGAATTTACAGAAGACAAAAGTCAGAAGACAAGGAATCTTCACTGACATTGTCTGGAATGATTACTGAGTGAACACCATCAGAAGGGACTATAAAGCTATTGTATGAATTACTATACCCCAATACTTTTCCCTCTATGTTAAACTAATCCAGTCCGAATAGGGCTTTAGAATAACAAGTAGCATAAATGCATCTGCTGTTTATCATTTTATTGACTTACTGTTGGGACGTTCTAATTCTGGACTTTCAGAGTGATAACCACCTTTCTCTTCCTCTATTTTTCTCCCTGTAATCAAAATAAATCACACACAAAAACAAACGCTTTAAAAGTTGCAATGAAAATATTGAACCACATAAAGAGACCAGTGAAGACCATGAGTCAAAGTTGAAGCTCAATCCATTGAAAGTATACTAAAGACAAAGTTCTACACACTTCCATAGGTCATAGAAAATTTGAAAAAAAGATCCAGCTAGTGATGGCAATTTCAAAACACTGCTTAATGAAGCTTCGAAACCTTTATGGATCTTTTGTTCTGAATCAATGGTTCGGAGTGTGTATCAAACTGCCAGAGTCACATGATTTCAGTAGGCTTCATTATGTCATCATAACATCGAAATGCTTCGAAACACTTTTCAATGGTTCACAAATTTCAATGGTTCACACCTGGGGCAAAGATATCTGAGTCACAAAGAACCAATGATCTAGTGTCTGTGGGTTTTACCCATGGTTTTACCTGATCTCTGATCATTTGTATATGAAGAGTTCAGATGCGAAAGCCTCTAAATGCCATTTGAAATTTTCTTCTTTAATGATGATTTTTATCAAACTTGTATATTTAAGTTCAGTAATTTCACTTAAACAACAATTAATAGGTAATTATCATTGCCATTTAAGTGAAATTACTGAACTTAAATATACAAGTTTGATAAAAATCATCATTAAAGAAGAAAATTTCAAATGGCACTTAGAGGCTTTTGCATCTGAACTCTTCATATATATATATATATATATATATATATATATATATATATTAGACGTTTTAATTAGACATTAGTATAATTAAAATGAAAAATGGTAGTAATAGTCTCTTGTTGACCTGTTTAGCTGTGCCATTCATAAACAACACAAACACTGACAATTGATGAAATAGCCAGAGATGGGAGTAATTCACAGATGTTCAAGTCTCAAGTCCCATCAAGCAGAGGTAAAAAGTCCAGGGGTCAGAAAGTAAAAGTCCTGCCATATTTTTATGCTACCCATGAACTCACACAGCAAAAACTCCGGTTTTGAATTAACTTTGAGTTAATTTGGCCCCAGACTCAAGAGTGTAAAGGCCGTACACACCGGGACGAATATCAGCGCGGGTTATTCGTCAGCGTTTTTCAACGCGTTTTTTGTGTTCACACCCAAGCGTTTTTCGCTGACGATAAGCCGAATGAACATGCAAATTCATTCCCTGACATTAGATGGCGCTTAATGTAAAACAGAAATAATGATAGAATACTATAATAGGGTGATCATATTCATGTCTCAATGTTTTATTATGACAGATAGAAAAAAAACGAATGAAATAATGATAGAAATAATGTCTTCTGTATTAGAAAAATATATAGGCCTAAATAATAAATAACTAAAAGAAATGTCTCCAAATGTAACAAAAAATAGCTCTCACAAACTTACAAAAACGAACTAACAAAATCTATTTATATCTTTAGTTTTCATTCTCTTTATCTTGTTTTTCTTCCTCGTCCACCTTGTTTGCCCATCTATATTTTGCTGTCGGACTGATCTTTCCCAGCATTTTTTGTTTGAAAACCAGGACATTTTCATCACTTAAAAACAGTCAGGATGGGATGTGGAAACAGGACATGTGTAACGCAAAGTTGAGATGTTGCCCAGAGATAAAAACACAGCAGTCGTCGGATGAACAGATGCACGAGAGACGAGAGTTGTCGTATTTCCCCGCGTTTAATAAAACCACTCAAACGTTACACTCGTCGTCATACATGGGGATCGAGCGAGAAAAAAAAACACAAACAAACATCTGGTCACAATAGAAAAATAAAATAAAAGAAAGAATACAAAGAGTCGGCAGAGCGGTTCTCCTCTCCTCACTTGTCAAAATCTAACTGACACTACACACACTATGCGCAGTTCCCATCTCAACTCAGATTTCTATAAAGCACAAAGTGACCGTTTTACACACGTCCCGGGAAAACAGGACTGTTAGTCACCCTATACTATACTATTATTACAGAAATACTAATATAAATATTATCTTATAGCACCGGCGCGTCAAACCAAAAAAACGAACCCGAGGCGTTTTTTTAAAAATGACGCTTTTACGCGTGGCGTTTTTCGCGTCGGTGTGAACACTCACATTGGCGCCCATTGTTTAGTCACGAGGCGTTAAACGTCGATGAATAACGCGCGCGAAATTCGTCCCGGTGTGAACAGGCCTTTAAAGTGTTAAAATGAGTGTTAAAGCTCCCCTGACATGACATTTTCATTTTCTGAGGTTTTTTAACATTAATATGAGTTCCCCTAGACTGTATTTGGTCCCCTCGGGTCTAAAATTTTCAGTCGGTGTAAACTGAGCTTTGGCTATTTTTCTCTTCTCTGCATCCGTCTGCATCTTAGACGCGCTGATCTAGAATCTCCCCCTATATAACGTCATAAAGGGGAAAGGTTGCTCCCCTTTCTCTGCTTTGCCCGCCCAGAGACCGACCATGAGAACGAGCTAGGAACAGGAAGTACGAACACGCGCAGGCGCGGTTTTATTTTTTCCTAGAGAAATAGCTTTGAGATTTGAGTTTTTCCTCGAGAAATATCATGGCTTGCAAATGAGCGAAGCATGGCAGTTGCTCAGTGTTCGGATGTACAAATGAACACAAAAGTATTTTTTTGTTCCTTCATCCGCGCCTCTGAAGAAACAATGGGTTCGTTTTATTTTCTCTGAAAATGCGCCGACTCAACTCAAGACTCAAGACAGCATCTCCAGTCAACATGCGGGCCGAGCAAGGAGCCCGCGACTCAGACCAAATATGCTTTGCAAGTATACTTTCTTTTAGCGCTTCTAAGAAGCATTAAGAATGTGTTTTCATGTTGTTCCAGAAAGGTTGATGTCGAGGTGAAATTGTACCAACTCTGTCTCTCCCCTCTCTCTCTCTCTCTCTCTCTCTCTCTCTCTCTCCAACTCAGCTACACGTGTACCCATTGTCTAAATGCCCCGTGTTGTCTTAGTTTGTGTCTTAATGTTTGTAACGTAGTAAATGCTTAAGTAGTTGCCTTATTAAATGCATTATTCATTTGGATTGAAATACTGCCTCTTTGCTCATTTTCCAAGTCCCTGAAATGTCGATCAAAAGCTACAAAGCTAATCAAAGATACCTTAAAGGGTATGGTTTTATAGAGCAGGAAAACTAATTCTTGTGGCCACAGAATTTGTTTTCACAAACTCTATAAATTAATTGAGCTAATTAATTTTACTTGTCTTGTAAAACGTGTAATTAATTACAATTAAATAGTGTTAATTGCAGAGACACACATGCATGCATGCGGGTAAAATTGACAAAGCTTCCCTCAATGGCAGATTTATTAACATGTAAGACTGGTCTAATCCAAATCTGTATGAATAATTATTAATTATCAATTATTAATTATGATACACAAATTCCCCCTTGATCAGACCGCCTTGTGTCTTTATATGTGTATCTGAAGCCGACAGCGTCGGTTTTCCTTTTTGAATGACGAATATAGACATATATATATATATCTGCAGAAATAGACAGTTGGATCATGAAATGCAGGCGCAGAACGCACATTAGGCTATAGCCGACAGTCGGCTGCTGTTCTCTCTGTGAGTTCAAGTGCAGATCCTTAAACTATTAATGTTAGATTTAGTTTGACTGCTATAATTGAGTTATAACAGACAGATAAACAACAGAAAAAGATTATCAGGTGGTGTTGGTTATTTTTTTTGACATAATCATCATTTGACCTAAATCACTGAACCCATTTAGAGAGCCAGGTTTACCTTGATAATTACAGCAGACTGTGATTCTACAGTATACCATTTCCAGTATATTAAATTTAATCCAAAAGATTTGTTAAAAGTTACTCTGATCAAAAGACTGAAAAAATATTTTATTTGGACCCACAGACATCAAGAATCAGTAATGAAGCATGTTGCAGTGGATTCTGGGTGCCACCAATCAAAACTCATTCATGGTGCCCATCATGCATTGTAGTATGAATAAATTATGATCTTAATTGTCTTAGTAATTTCCTTTTCCTAATTGAATGTTCTTTTGTCACCATTGTTGAGATTCATACACTGACTCTTGATGTCTGTGTGTGCCTTAAACAAAGATTGTTTTTTATTATTAGAACAACTTTTCAGAAATCATTTGGATTATATTATAATATGTATCTCATGCTGGATTAATTAATAACATAATTATCAAATTAATTTTAACACTCTTCAGTGTTCATTTAACACTCAACTCTTTACCTCTTTGAACACTTTAACTCTTTGAGTGTGGAGTCAAACTCCCAGGAGAGTTAATTTAACACTGGTGTTTTTGCTGTGTAGGATGACATTGTTGCTTTAACATGTCACATTACAAGAACGTTTTATAAAATACATTCCGTCATCTCAGGCCTCAATGATATCCTCAAAACATTTTGCGAATGTTGATTTGATAATGTTCCTCCTTTGTTATTATAACTCTTCTAATTCTCAATAAGAATGTTAGTATGAAATAAACAGTGTCTGGATTGTAATAAGTGAGGATGTTGAGAAGTTGTGAGATCTGTTAGTGTTTAATGTTCTGATGGGATTTAAAGTCAAGTGTTGCTGAGTGTGCAACACTCCGTATGTAGTGTTTTGTGAGTACCATTGAATTGAAGAGTAGAGCCTGTGCTTCATTCCAGGATGACCATTACACCATTACACTGAAGTTATGTTGCATGTTTCTTTATATAACAATCAGTCACTAAGTAATAACTAATGCTGTTAGATAGTCAACAAATATACACCCACAGTTTTTTGCAGAAGATTCATTGCTCACATTGAGTTTGTGTTTTTTAGTAAAAACTCAGGGAATTTAATTGTGAAATAACTGTATCTGTTAAAAAAGTTAAATGAAGACTTCTGTGAAAGTATTTTGCACTTATATTAATTAGAATATTTTGTGTTTTTTGAATGGCAGCCATTGCTGACAGTCAATTGACTGTTTTTTTTTGTTTTGTTTTTTTTTAGAGTGAAGTTGTTAAAATTAAAATAGCTGTAAATTAGCTGTAAAATAAAAGTTTTTTTTTTTTTTTTTTTTGGCAGCCGTTACTGACAGTCATTGACCGCTTTTTAAAGATTGTATTTTGTACAGTGTATCGCTGGATGGCACTATTGGCCAATAAGAATCAGGTATTCCACAGAGTTGTGTAATAAATGCAAATAATTCACAAAAATAACCTTTTTAACAACTATTTTTTACATCAACGTGTTTTGTGAGAAATCTAGTCTATAAATCTATATATTTAAGCCTTTGTTTCATTTTGTATAATCAAAATGAATTGTGAAACCAAACTCTTTTATATATATATATATATATATATATATAATCTTTACTTTATTTTTACTGTTTGCTTTAACTATACATAAAAAATAAAAAAATAATATATGTGAATGTGAAGGATCTTATTTTATGCAAACAGCTCACTATTCAGTTTTCACACAGAGAAGGGCTGGATATGCAGTATTATTTACACAAATTCATATTTATTAATGTAGAAAATGCATACCCCTATATTCACACTTCTAAAGGGCCCAATTACTCAGAAGAAGAACCCCATACTAGTACACATACTGTACTAACTTAATCGTGGGCACTCAAGTTTCTTTTCTCTCATCACCGGAAACTAGTTAAAAGTCAAAACAAAATGCCAAAATAAACAGACACACGATCCTACAAATTGAGTTTATAGACAGAGACAAAATAATTGGATTTTGTTTTATTTACACAAAGTTTATAATATCTAGTTGGCTGAAATTAAATCTTACCTTCTCTTTGTTCCATTTTATCATCAGCGACTTCAAGTTTCCAAAGCAAATGTCAAATCTGACAAACCTTTATATGTCTCTCTCTCTCTCTCTCTCTCTCTCTCTCTCTCGTGTGCGCATATGCAGAGTGATTGTGGGGAGCATTGAGCGGAAGAGTGTGTGGCGGTCTGAGGACAGAGAGTCGGAGTGCTGACTTCTGTCTGATAGAGATGGGCTCAACCAAGGGCGTCATGGGGGGAGGGTTACAATCTGAGACATTGCAGTTGTTTTCTGATGGGTGAAATGGATCATGTTAGGAGGGGTCAGGGGTTTCTCCCCCTGAAATTGTTTTAATTCTGGCTGCTAAACAAACCATTTCAATGCAGTTTGGGAGGGTCAGAAATACCTTAACGGAGCTAGCAGCAACCATTGTCTATCTGAGGACGAAGTTAAAGTATCTATTTTGTAAGTTTATGTAAAAGACAGGTTGATGAAAGCACTGTAAGCTCAAATTCAAAAGTTTGAAGTCTACTTCATTAAAGCATGTGTATACACACACTTATTGTACACTTAGGCGTACTGCACATGATTTTAAAAACAGTGCCATTGCAGTTTTTATGTTATGATTTTAAATTGGTATGTGACCTAAGAACGATCTTACGTTAAAGTTAAATGAAGGTGCTGAGGTCTGACTTTGCTTTTTATATTAATATGCGATGAAGGACTTTGAAAGAAGTTTGACAGATTTCAGTGCTGAATAAGGTTGATGATTGAGGTTGATGGAAATCCAACTCCCAGTAAAGTTCATTTAACACTGGAGTTTTTGCTGTGGGTGGAATAAAAATGTGGCAGGACGTTTACTTTCTGACCCCTGGACTTTCCACCTCTGGCATTTGCAACCTTGACAATGATTATTGAATGTGTTTTTATTTCTAATAATAATAAAATCAGCCTCAGTGCAAACCCTTTACTGTGTCTTCAGTGATTGTGTGATATGATCAGATGAAACTCTCTTTAAATCTTACCTTATTTTAAATGACAGAAATTTTCTTGTACGGTTCTCTGTGCCATTTAAAAAAAAACCGCAAGACTAATGAAACCTGCATACAGCAAACGTTTCCTGTACTAAGGACATGTGAAAAGTGAAAAGTGTCAGACATGTGAAAAGTGACGAATAAGCTTAAAACTGCAGTCCAAAGTTTTTCCTCTTTGTTGCCATCTCTGTTCAAAATCTACAATTGCAGTTATTCGTGTAATTATCAACTTTACGGGAATTGTACCTCGACACGGCACAGTGCGGATGAAGTGTTGTGGAGAGTGTGCGGCTGTCAGTCACTGTGCCGGTGTGGATACTGGAGTTCAGAATCACAGATTATCCTTTTTGGAAGTAAAAATTGTCATCTGAACAATTAAGTAACATCCACTTTTGTGCTGACTAGGCCTATAGTCGATAAATCAATTAATCACACGATAACAAAAATGAGCTCGATAATTTTTCCGGATGCGATAATTTCCATTTGCATGCTTGTTTGTTTTCTCTCTCTCTCTCTCTCTCTCTCTCTCTAAGAGACTTGATGACAACTCTCAGTTCCTTGGCGTGAACTAGAGCTTAAATTCTCTGCCCGAGCCCGAACTTGACCCGACACTATACTCGGGCCGGGCCCTTAGGATGAATCCCAATTCTCTGTCTTCCCCCTTCCCCTTAGTTTTGCGCGTTCACGTGAGAGGAAGGGCTATCCCAATTCTCGAGCTTACTTGAAACCAGGGGTAAGAAATGCACAAGTTTTTTCGCTTAAATGATTGATAAAAAAAATATCAACATCTTGTTTTGTGCTCTACACAGTTATGTACATATATTTTTGCAACTATGTTGTTTATAGACCCCTTTTGCGCCGACGTCACAGACATACCCTACTGATGTCACAGTTACGTCACGGCGCTAGCTGGAGGCAAAACAAAGTGAAAACTGGAGGCGGCCAATGCAAAACAGCACAGATCCGGCTACATAATAAGGAGCTTTAATAATTGTTACTATTATTAAATGCCATCGTGATGTGTTGTTTGGTGCAAGAATTGATGAAAAATGAATATGCTGTATCTGGAACTTTTATTTCTAGAAAATATTCACATCATTTAAATCGCACTGTAATGTCACTCTTTACATTGTCGTGGTCTCGGCGCTGGCTCGGCAGAACTGCGGATCGTACACACAAGTCTTGTACAGGACCATATAGGCATCTAAAGATTTATATGCCCTCAGTTTCTATTTACGATCAATTTCTCTATAAGGTAGGTGTAGAAGTCAGGCCACTCAACCGAGGTAACGTAACGTTAATCCTGTCAGATCGCCCATGCATTGAGTGAGCGTGTAGGCGGCTACGGGTCGGCCAATCTGGTTCCGTCCGTTAAAAATAACTTTTGAAAATAACAATCGCGGACCTGGACACTGAGTGACCTTACACATTAAGATAATATCGGATTTTCTCCAGTCATTGTTAAAAAACAAGCTAACAATCCTTGCTAACTAGCGTTAGTGAAGCGGCCAGATGGATCTTTCTGCCTCCACCTATTGGTCTATTGAAACGTTTTTAAAGTTTTAAAAATCGCTACTTTGCTACGCTAGGCTATGCTAACTTTACATTGCTGATTTGCACAATCAGTCCCACATTTCAAGATCACTCAAAATGTCCGGGATTCAGCTTTTGCTTTTTTTTTTCAGCTTTTTTTTTTCAGTCGCCATTCAATATGTGTACATTATTTGAAACTGACACATACGTGATCACCTTCTCAGATGATGCATTCAGCTTTAAATGGATCCCGACTGAGACGAAAACACAGGAATATTAGATCAACAATACATTCAGATTCACCGATTTAAATGCATGAATTCAGTCCGATTGAAACAACACCTTGTGCAAGTAAACATAATGAATAGTGAAGGCAGAAAGCAAAAGCCGAATCCCAGACATTTTGACGGCATCTTGAAAGTTTCGAGAAGTTTGTGATCAACACTTGTTGCCCCGGGTGACACAGACGCCAGTTAAGGACGATGTAAGATGACGTAACCGAGTGGTGTCTCATTTCATAGGGGTATGTTTGCACTAGCGTTTACCACTCGGTTTCAAGGGACAAGGGCTAGGGGTAAGACAAGGGAAGGGGTAAGGGGATAATTAATCTAGTAATCTAGTATAGACGTGCACTCCCAAAGCAAGTGCGGCGCGGCACTAGACTTGATGGCCGAGAGCGAGCACGGGCGGTGATTACTCACTCATTGCGTACTCCCGCAAACTCCCGCAAACTAGAAATATCTATAATAAAACATTTAAAAACTAATAGTTTTTTTTTCATCTGTTGCAGAAAAGCAATAAGAACAACTAAAACAAAATAGAAACGATTTACAGGCCAGAGTTTCTATTTATAACATGTTTGCAGCGTTGAGCGATGTGGCCAAGTGTTGATTTCTTGAACGCAATCAGACCAATCAGAAGCATTTAAGATAGACTCCCCTCACCACTCAAAACTGACTTTTTGTTCAGTGATGAATTCTGAATGCTGGTAAATCCTCTAATTATAACAAACAAAGTGTGGCTATTCTGAAATATTCATTGTGCAGTCAGCTTCATTGATATTAACAGAGATGTGAGAGATTGCGATGAACTGTCAGCTTTTTAGGAATTATTAAGGGAGTCAGGATTCAGTAATGCCGAACCATGCACGCAGGAGCCTGCTTGCTTTCATGTTAAATTAACAGTGGTTTGTGTTAATGCTCTACTAACAAATAATTTAGGGTAGGTTCAGGTTTTGTTCACATCCATTTTATTTATTGTTTTTGGCATTTATTCAAGTGCATTTTTTGTGAACAGAGACATTGCTTTTATTGTTTTTGGTTGTTTTGATCATTTATTGTGGCTATTTAAAATGTTTTCCATTTTAACTGAAAAAAGCATTGAAGCAATTTGCGCAGTTTAAATCTAACGATTGTTTGTTTCAGGATCCACCATCAAATTAATAAGTGTAATTATAGCAAGTGCTGTGAGAAAAGGCTATAAATATAAACTCCAACATCCTCACACGCAATATAGCCTATACTAGCTGTGACATCTTCTTTATGTGTACAGATGTGATGCAATGTTGCAAAGACAAGCTCGAATTTCCTGCGTAAATCCACCAGTACAACTGGAATTAAAACTATTATTAAAGTTTTGAATCGAACTAAGGAAAGCGGAAAGTTTTGAATACTGGGTGGTTATGTACTTTTGTACTTATGTACAAAAATTTTGGATTATTTTTAACCCAAAAAAAGTTACGGACTGCAGCTTTAATCAATGTTGTTACTTCTGTAACAACAGCACCAGATAGGTAGGTAAGCATCAAGTGTGCAGTTAAAACATTATAGAGACAGGATGTGGTACACTTTGCATTTGCAAGATGTCATGTGTGCATGCAGGACGAAGCATAAACCTCATGGGTGGTTGCCTAGTACCCCCTACAAGACATTAAATGTCCTGATGCAGTCGCATATGCCAGCAGTTTTCATATGCCATCACATTTTCACCGGGGGCGGGAGGGGGGGGGATTGTGAAAGGCCAAGGCGTACATAGTCACCATAACATTAGAATCTCTGAAGGACAAACTCGCAATTGGTTACCATTATGGAGATCAGTGTTTGCTTTAGTTGGGCTCTTGAGCCTTAAGTTATGTATTTTAAAAATTATATCGGCTATTGTACTTCTGTTATATCAGCCAAATGAACAAATGAACAAAGAGAAAAGTTTGCTGTTTAACATTGTAATTATTTCATGATTGTTTGACCTAAGTAGAGCCCAATTTCGGAGTTAAATTTACTTTATTGTTTATTGTTACAACATTGTCCTTGAAAATCATAATATTCTTAACTTTTACAATGTAATCCAAATAATTTCTTACAACTTAATTTTAAAAAGACATCAAGAATCAGCCTGTGAATCTCAATAATGGTGACAATTATAAAGCATTTTGCAGTGTATTCTGGATGCCACCAATCAAACCTCACTCATGGCTCCCATCATGCATTGCTCTATGAATAACTAAT